ATTGCCCTTAAAGTCAGTGCTGGTGGTGCGACTTTGGCGGCATATTCGAAACCCGAACAAGACTCGACTCTACGAATGAAACAAACTGACACAATTGTAGAGGTTGATCGAGCATACGAGAACTTGCAAAAGTCTGGAAAGGGCTATGGAATGGGTGGTCGCCGTGAGTTTTCTATCCTGCGCTACTAAGCCTGCCAAAGGTTCCGACATGAACGGATGAACTGGTCTGGTTGAGTGTACCAACAAACATACTGACAAGATCATGCAGACTCCCGTGGTTCCCATCACACCCCCGGCCCCCGCCCGCACTCGGTAAACAACTTTGATGACGCCCGTGGTCAGGGACCCAATCTGCAAAACTTCTACGCAAACCAGCGTCATCAACCTTCACGAGGCTCCAACGAGGCAGAGCAGGTCATGCAGGCTAAGAGACGGATGGCAGCTCAGCGGGAGCGAGAGCTTCGAAACCTGCACACAGAGCAGCAATATCAGCGAAGTAGGCCTCCCTCTACTGTGTAGCACATTCAACTATGACAAAGAAACAAGATGGCATATAGAGAAAAATAATGTGGTCATGGGCGACTGATAATGTCGTTGGCCCAGACGCCGCTCGTGTTTCTTCCCTCCCAATTTTGAGCAGCATCTATGTAATATCGTCGAGTTTGTTGAGCATGGGCTAACAGCTTTTCTACGTAGCCGTCCTTTCCGAGGTGCCTCTGCCGCCCAACAAGCACATGTCCGAGGAGGAGACGCGAGACTTGATTGCCCGTCAACGAAGTGCCCTCTATGGCGAGGGTCCTTTTGCAGACAAGGCAGGATACGTGGATGAGACTGGTAATGTCCGCACAGGTGCCCCTGTCCCTAGCGGACCCTCAAGCATCCGTGGACACTCCCCTCTTGCCTATGACAGCGTAGGCCGTGCTCCCGCTACTGGCGAAGCCGGTACTCCCGTCTCTGGTGGTGATGCCCACGGTCCTCCCACTGAGCCCAACTCGCGACCTCATAGCACAGTCAGTCCCCAGGCTGCTGGACCCACCAACAAGGTCTTTGACAACGCTGTGGGTAACCAGAGCCGCACAAGTACATCCAGCCCAACTGGCGGCTCCCCCTCTCGTGATCTGAATCCTGGTTCCAAGCCCAACCAGGTTGGTGCCTCTGTGGCTCCCATTGGAACTCGTCCTTCTGGTACACCCACAACTTCAGCTTCATCGAAGCGATCCACCACTCCTCTTGCCTCTCCTGGTAGCTGGGGACGTGGCAACGGTGTTTGGGGTCAGTCGTCCGGTCTCGGTGCTCCTGCTAGTGTCTGGGGTTAGAAACGTTCGCTCACCAAGGATTAGGAGGAGCAACAAGGCGCAGGATTTAAAGTTGCATTTGGGACGGCGCAGAGGTAAACGTGCATTGCGGTCGGTATCTTTTGCGAGTACGGTCTTTGGCAACTCACGTCTCGAGTTCAAGACGGTGCGAGCATTGCAGGGCACTCGGATCTGGCGAGAGCCGAGTGATACAGTCAAGGTCACGGGTATTGAAGGGACGGCATCGACTGGGGAGTTGACATTGCTTTTCTGTTTTTTTTTTTTGCGGCAGGAGGTTATGAATTGGTGAACTGGGAGTTGCATTCGAACATTACTGGGGCGTCGCTATATCGTCTCGTTTATACTTTGAGAGCAGGAAAAATGGTGCCGGGTATGAAGAAACGGGAAGGATGGTTACAGTCTCAGTCTCGGATTTGAGATGTTGCGGAGTCTGGCCTAAACGGAATTGTCGGTCTGGCTCACCGTGGGAGCGGCAACTATATACCCAACAGGGCGGTTCTTACGGCGTTCACTCTGTTTACGACGACCGATCGGCCTGTGAAATCGACTGCGGCATGTGTTAGCATCAACTGCGTGGCGCGTCCGGAGTACCTTTCACGATGGAGGCATTTGAGTCGTCGGTGCGCATACCATGGTAATGGATTGGAAGGGAACCTACAAGGGCTTGTTTATGCTCACGAATCGGCGAGCGAAAAGGAATGTGTTTTATATACGGCGAAGAACACGATAAAAAGACCTAAAAAAAAAAAAAAGAAGAAGACAAAAATGGCATCTCAAGGGGTTCAAGGTGGATCAAGGTTAGGGTCAGTTATCTTTCATGTCTCTCATTTGTACTGGTTTGGGGGAAGCTTTCGGTTTGGGACAGGTTCTATAAGGGTTATTTTCGCAAGGGAAAGGAGAAATTGTTTTCTGGTTTCAAGATCGTGCTTAACAGGATGGGGTAGGCAGGGTTGATAGTAATTGCAAGAAGGGCCGGGGATAAAGGTAATACAAGTTTATTACGGAGTTGATCGGTTGGACGAGTAAATGTGCCTTGTGAGACATGCATGCATGTTGTGCGAGGTGGCGGTCGAGACACGAGATCGGAGCAGTGAGAATAGGTCCAGACTTAGTTTAAGTGCTGATGCCAAACTGCGATGGCACTATATCGAGGGGATAAAAATAAACAATCAGATTAACTAGGAAACTCTATCTTGCGTTAATTGATTAACGACAACAAATTGGATTATGCAAAGGATGATGAGAATTGCATGTGCGCGTCATGGGAATGTCCGGGGCCCCCACCGTGTCCGGACGGTCTTCTCCCCGCCAGGACCCTCAATCGGGGCCCCGAGTGGAGGCACCGGTGAGAATCTCATATGCATCTTGCAGTCAAGGTGCAGCTGCAGCTGGTGAGGGGAGGGGAATGAATGACGGGTACACTACGTGACGCGATTCTTTTGTTTATCCTTTTAGTGTAGGTACATATAGCTCATGGCTCTCGCTCCTTATTCACTCTGTTCGACTGCATATTGACTGGTTCCGTTGTTGCTGTAAAAATACTGACAAAATGCCCTCCTTTGACGAAAAGAAAGCTTACGTTGAGCAAGAAGAAACATTCTTCGACGATGGGCGTGAGATTGAGCTTCTTCATTACATCTATGGCCGGTCAGACATCGATGAGCTGCGTGGCTCGCCGGAGCGTGTTCTTCAAGCCATTGATGAGTTTGGACGTACCAAGAAGTACCTCATGAACGTGGGCGAAGACAAGGGCAAGATTGTGACAGATCTCATCGCTGAAGTGAAGCCCAAAGTCATGGTACACCAATTGACCTCTGCTCTTATGAAGAACGTACTGATAGGTACTGGTGTAGGTTGAACTTGGGGGCTACGTCGGCTACTCAACCCTCCTCTTCGCCAACGCCGTCCGCAAATCCGGAGGCACACACTACTTCTCCCTCGAGCGCAACCCCGAATTTGCCGCCGTCATAACATCTCTTCTTGATCTCTCTGGCCTGCGCGACATCGCCCGCGTAATCGTCGGCCCCAGCGACGCAGGCCTCGCCCGCCTGCACGCCAACGGCACAATCTCCAAGATCGACCTCATGTTCCTCGACCACTACAAGCCCGCGTACACGAGCGATCTCAAACTCTGTGAGCGTTTGGGCCTCGTAGGACCGGGGAGTGTCCTTGCGGCTGATAACGTCATCAAGCCGGGGAATCCACCGTATTTGGCGTATGTGAGGAGTAGTGTTGCGGAGAAGAGGGCGGCGAAGGGGGGGAATGAGAAGGACGGGTTTGCGGATAGAACGGCGAAACAGTATTTGAAGAGGGAGGGAGAGGAGAGGATTAATGAGGAGGAGGGGGATCCAAATCTGGTGTATGAGAGTAAGTTGGTTCACAGCTTTGAGCCAACTGGTGTTCCTGTGAGTACCACCATCCCACCACAGTTCATTGCCCTAGCTAACAATTGTAGGACGCTGTCGAGATTACAAGATGTACCGATCGCGAAGATTAGAGCTCTTTACCTTGGCACCAATCAATAGAATTGACTCCAACGTTTCGCGGACTCTGATGAGTGCGCACAGTATCAATCCCCTCAACTACCTACCTCTTTACCCTCGGGGCATGAGGTGTAAGAGTCTCCAGACGCTCGGGGAGGAACAAAATATAAGACTTTAGAAGAGAACGACAAAATAAATGTAGTAAAACGTCCTCTAAGCTTGGGGTAACTTGCCTGAGTCTTTTTGTCACTTCGGAGACTGCCCCTCAACACCAAAAAAACATCACGACCCCGCCGCCCTCGCTGGTCTCCACAGCCGCTCATCCCATGAGAGCCACGCCCGGTCAGCCCAATCGGTAGAGTGCGAGACTCTTATGAGTACGCGATCTCAAGGTTGCGCGTGACCCCCGCATCGGGCTGTTCCTATGTATCGAGTGCGAGCGTTTGCGAGGCTTACTCTTTTTGATGTTTTGTGGTAGGTAGGTCATGGGCTTGGTCGACGAGGAAAGCAGCTCGGTTACATACAGTCTCTTGGTGACTGAAATGTCGTACTGCTTTGACCTGTCGATAGTGCCATCTTTTGTTGACGATTGATAATGGTGGGTGAATGCTCGGATACGGTGATTGTGTTGAGGTCCGTTTGGCTCTCATCCTTACTGGTTCTGCGTGTAAGAGCTTTGTACGTCAACTAACGCATTCAGTCTAGGCATCTTCTCCTTCTTTTGCTACCTAAGGTAGTATTGATTGTCGGCGTTTGTTCATTGACCATCGCATTACAAGTGCAGCATGTGGTTGGCGCTATGAAGGACGAGCAGTGCCAGTGCCAGTGCCAGCATCGACAACAAAGTGGAAATCGCAGTCAATGAGTCACTGGGCATGAACAATTTTTGAACTTTTTATCTGAGCTTGCCTTTTCCTTTTCTCTTCTTCCCTCCCAACCATTACAACCTCATCTCACCTCTTCCCCCTTCCATCTGAGGAGTGCGCCTTCAATCTGTTTAGACGAAGAAGGCTTGGGCCCTCAATCCTAAGTTATCGACAAACTCAAAGAAGTTTATAAAAGCTTAGGGGCTTTTTATTGAGCTTCATTTGATATCCTACATTGAGTGGAAGCTTCTAACACAGCCACATATCTTGTCTTGAGAGGTAGCTCACGATATCATCTCTACCCATCTCGCCGAGCACATCGAAAAATCAGGAAAATGGATCTCTTCGACTTTGATGATGACTTTTTCCTTGATCCGGACTTAGACTTCGATTCGGACTTTGACCTCATGCCAGATGAATACCCAGGTTATGCGAATTGGGATTTGTATGATGATGAGGACGATGAACCAAACGCTGGACCCAGATGTGGCCTTTGCCAATTCAAATTTGAGGCATTGGACTCCATTGTTATTTGTATGCGTCCCTGTCGGATCTTGTTCCAACAACCTACTGATTAAGCACAGTCAACCCATTGAATCGTTACTTGCCTTCGCCTTGGGAAACCAAATATTACGGAACAGATACCTCTGGATACCTGGAGACTGGTTACCACTCATCTTGCGTCGACCAATTTCCCGCGGATTTCTCGCTTGGCAACAACACCCATTTCGACGTCTGGAACGCTACCCGTTACGGAGACTCAAAGTATAGAAACATCGGTAATGAACCTCTTCCCTCCTTTGAGGCAAATCGTCTACGTCGCTTGAAAAAGATGTTTGCTGAGGAGGTTATGACTGCCCTCGGGGGACGTCTTCCCCTTGAGGTCTGCGAGAACATCGGGCGCTATTGCTTGAAGGACTACGCAGTGAGACTTCTTAAAGATGCTTGGAGAAAGAAGAGCCATTTTGGACCCAGGGATGCCGCTTTCCGCGTCACCAAGTCCCATGAGGTATGGGCACAACACATCGAGTTCGAGGGTGTCCAGTATATCAAGTCTCTTTCAACCACCCGCCGAAACGAGAGCGACACGAAGCTCTTCGGGCCTGCGCACGGCACCCGTGTCAACATCTACTTTGCCGAAGATCCTCGGGGCATCCGTGAAGTGATTATGACTCAAGATGACGATACCCCATTGACTCAAGGAGAAGGCTTGACATGGGTTGTCAACCGCCGAATTGCCTTTCCATTCTGGTTCAAATCCAAGTCCGATGTGAGTTGCCTTTCGCCCCTTGATACCCACAGTTTTCACTTGCTCACTGGCTTTGTGCTCTCAGGGTCTCAAATTACGTGAATTAGCCATAACAAGAACGAAGAAGCTTGATGCCAACTACCGACAGAGGCGCTGGGCTCTTCTGCCCAATGACTTGGACGATTGCCGACTCGCTCCACCACTAGTTTTTGACAGGGAAGTGTCAACGGAGCCGATCCGAGCAGTCGACTGGAACTTACCTGGATGTCGAGGCTATTCCATTCTGATAGACATGAATTGCGTTTGTGACATCATCCCGAACAATACGAGAGGCCCATCCTCACGGTGGATGGATGTGGATAACGAGCATCAGGGTGCTTGGATTTACATACCTATTGATGAAGATGAGCGAGTCTCCGAGCTTTGGTTTCGAAACGGCGAGTTCCCCCGAGAGGATAGCACGTTTGGCAAGTACAGAAGTCTGATTGTAAGTTGCGATGCTATCCCCAATACTGGATATAGAGCACTGACATAGTTAACTATCATAGATACGCACAAGCAAAGGCCGTAGCTTTGTTCTCGGGTCTGACATCGAATCTCGCTCTACCAAGAAGGATGTATGCAAGTTCACTTACCAGGGGATTGCTGTGCTGTCGTTAACCCAGCCATCTCGAATGTTGTACTGCAAGTCTGGGGCTTGGCCTTCCAGGTTCTGGTTGTGTGTTGACCCAGCGGAAAGCTTGGATCAGCGCAAGATCAATCTCTCTCTACCGAAACCTTCGAAGCCCACTGCTTACGCAGGCAAACAGTTCTTATCTTCGGCTGTGGAGCTTCGAGATATCAGGACAATCGCAGTTTGCCGAAGCTGGAGAAGCTGTCCGGATGAGGGAATCGTCGGCATACTCTTCACATACGCCGATGGTCGTCAACGATGCATTGGGCAAATCCGCCTCGATCACATGGATGCGCCTCTCGCTATTACTTCGGGAAACATTTGGCTCGGCTGCGACAAGTCACAGAATGAACATCTCCCTGAAGGTTTCTGGCCCCGGACAAACAAGATCAAGTGGGTTGAGGTGGACAAGCCTTTGCGAGAAAAGGACCGCGAGTATTTGGAAGTACCGCTCCAAGGTTCTCTAGAATGGCAAAGCTCCGAGGGCGCGGGGTTCTATCATCACTCAGTGTATCATCATGAGAGCAGCGATCTACAGGATATGGTGGATGAGATGCACCTAGTGCTGGCCCATGACGCTGAGTCTGGAGGACGTCCTCGGGGAGTGGTCAAAACGTTCTCTGTGGTTATTTGAAACACAACAGGTCTCCCTTGATGTTTCTTGGCCAGATAATCCCCCTTACTGCGCCGCTGGATGGGGATGGATTGGATGGACGGCGGTCACTGGATGTTTTGTAGAGTTTTGTAATGGATATTTTCACTTCATCTAGCTGGACAGAGCAATATGCCTTCATCCCCTTGAGGCTCGTCATTATCAGTCTGTTTCACTATAACTTGATACAAAATAAATAGCAGCTACCATAAAGGTAGTTTTGTGTCGGGCTGCTCCTGAGTTGATCGTGGGTGTTTTGGTGCTTTGGCGTAACTCCGCTCGCGGATGGATCCTTTGCATTGAGAATGACAGTGGCTGGCATTGTTTCTGTTGTTTTAAGACTATTTTTGTGTAACCATTCGTAGAATTTGGCTTCATTGTAGTGATGCTGCACTGTTCTCCTTCCACCTGGCAAGCAGGCATTTGTTGCTTCTTCCCACTCGGCCTATCACTGAGAATACCTTGATTTCTCCACAAGTTCCTTTTATTTTTTCCGTTGCTTTCCAATTTTCCAATGCTATCTCTTGCGTGAGAGTCTTCTATTCTTGGCAGCTGCCAGGCACTGTCAACAAAAGGTACTAGACCTAAGGTAGGTAGGTAGTTGCGGCAGTAACAGTGAGAGTCAACAGGGAAGCGAGTCACATTCACTACCCGCCTACTCCGCTAAAAACAACATTGTTTCTGACTTCCGGGCATTCTCTTGCCTTCGCAAGAGCGCGCTGGACAACACTGTTGGAGCTAGCTGGTGCGGACGAGAGCTAACACCATTCATTGATCGCTAAAGCTTGTGACGTCTCAACGAGACACATCAAGAACTGGGAGGTACATATCACAGCGATTGAGAGTAGAGACAGCTTACTGGGTGAAAGACTTGATTGCATGTGTACCTATCATGAGATGCCAAAGTATTCATGCGTAGTCTAGAAGATCCTGCTTCTGGTTGACTGTCATCCTGGCCTCTGACTACCCTGACCCCCACGGTCTTCTTGCTTTACCCCTTGCTATATCCCTTTTTCCTAGGCCGATTCTCCTCAAAGCTATCTTGAGTGCCCAAAAAGGGCATTCCCTTTCCTGGGAGGAATTTTCTTGGATCTTCATGGAGGGGAGTCTCTGAACTACCCTCCAGGGGGCCTGCAGCCGGTTTGCCTTCAGCGACCCTAACGTGCCCATGGAACATCAATGCCATTGCCTTCTTTCGACGTTCCAATCCTCCATTGCGCTAACTCCTCTTCCCACGAGGACCGAAAACGGTTTTACCGCATAACCCGGGCGTGGCATTCCGGGGGCGGGTTCTTGCGATAGTGCCTCGAGGAATTCGTCCAGGGACACGCTGTCGTCTCGGTGGGACAGATGGCACTGGCGTTGACTGAAGTACCAGTCGAGACGCCCTCGCATAGGATCTAAGGTGGTTGGTAGTACTGACCACCGATGATCTTCTGGAAACCTCGGCTGATCATTGGCGTACTTGTAGGCTGCCAGGCCCCGAAGCTTGATCCCCTATTCTTGGTCAGCAGTCGTTAGCTTTGTCAATGTGATATACTTACATCAAATCTTGCCTTTAGATAAAAAGGCATCTTGCTGGGCGTGAACAATGTCCACCATCTTCCAGGCTCTTCCTCTTTTGACGGCACATCTTGACCAGAGGTCGCGATGAGGTCTACCACTCCCAGATAATCGTGTAGAGCGAAGATATTGACGTTTTCCCGGTTCTGGGACTGGGACTCAGAAAGTATCTGAGTCTCGTCGCCACCGACAGAATGGTGAGACAGGGATCTGACATGGCGGATGCCTTCATAGTACACATACTGAGCCCAAAGAGGCTTGCCATCTATGGCAATGGAGATACGCCCTGGCTTGGGCCGATCCTTTCTGAGCCAGAGGTCTCGAACGACCTGAACCGCTCGTTCTCGAAGGCAGTATTGTGTAATGATGTCGCACACTTCCCCAGGTAGACGATTTCTGATAGTCTGCAGAAGGCTTTCTGAGAAGGTCTTCTTCAGCCATTTCAGACGCCGCATTTGGATTGATGGAAGGGGATGTCGTCCTTCTTGCAGCGGTTCAAGGATAGTCGCATTGTAGATGCCGGGATCGAGGCGCTGATCAGGCATTAAACCTGCTTTTTGGGCCAAATCAACGCATTCGGCATGAAATGTGTGCTTGCAATAGTGAATGGTCCAATTAATTTCAGGTTCTAAATAGGTAGTCGTCCAAGGCTCACACTTTTCCCTGACTGTAAACAGGGTCAGAAGGAATAATTTGTCATGAAGGGGGGCACATACAAACAACAACGCTGTCATCAATACGAAAGTTGAACCTGCAGAGACCACAAGATGGGGAAAAGCCACTGTTTTCCTTGAAATAGGTTGTCTCCGAGGAATCGGACTCAGTATCGGAGTCGATATACGCGTGGTCTTCGTATTCGAGATCCATTGTGAAGGTGTCTGTGATGTCTTGTGGTCAGTCTACCATGTGTCAGATGAAACCTTAGGACCTTAACCTTACCTAAGGTAATCAAATACTTATGTGATTTTACCTAAGCTTAGGGGATCCCTTGTAAAGTTTATTTTCGTCCTGAGGGCAAGTTTGCGTGGGATGTTGAGATGGAAGAATTGATGTGGAAGAAGATGACTTGAGTTGCGGTTGACTCGACTTAAGAAGGCGGAAGAAGACGGATGGATAGAACTTCGAGGAACAGACGAGATGATCCATTCTTTTTGTGCAATGGAAGGTGCCAGTGGATCGGCTTCTGCTTCGTTGACACTGGAGTGCACTGTCGCTCAATCGTTGTCTAATCGTCTCAGCGTTGCATTGTTCAGCGATCAGAAGCAAGGCCAGACAGTGACAAACTGACATCTTGACCTTGGCAAGGAAGAATAATCGAATCTCATACAAATTTTTCATAACAGAATTACATCCACCGTGACTTCAGGTTCGTTGTGACAAAGGCCGCTGATTGCTTTGTCGTTATGGTCCCTCCCGATGCAAGCTCATTGTTGATGAATCGACACAATGCTTGCAGGCTTTTGTTCATTCTTTCGGGTACCTTCAAAGCAAAATGACCTTGAACTCGTTTCTTTGCCTTTCCCTTTGACTTGTTGCTATTTTGGGTCTCTTTGTTCTGGCGCGACAGTGCAAGTGACAGTGGATCGAGGGAGAAGGCCACATTGGGGAGGCAAGAAACCTTTCATGAGAACTGTAGCCTAGGATGAAATAAATGTAGTCTAATTTTATTTACAATTCTACAGTTTATGATAGTGTATCCTAAGTTATGACCATACCAGAGAATAAGTGACAAAGGAACTTGAATTGTTATATCTCGCAGGTCTTTTACTCCCACAGTCCGCGCAGTGCCTACACCTTCCCTCGAGCAAGCTACGGTACCAGCTGTGAATCGCTACCAATTTTACCTACCTTACTCAAATATCTCAAATCCCACATACAGAAACCTCCACTTCTCATCTCTCCTTCAAAATTTAATCCGCATTCTATCTCTGAACATCCCAAAAATTGTCATCCAGATTCCCCAATCATGTCCTCCTCCTCCTCCTCCTCCTCCTCCTCCGAAGACGAAGTGGAATCCATCGGGCCATTCGAGTTGAGCGACTATGAGAGCGAATGGGATAGTCAACCTGACCCTCACGATGATTCTAATTATGAATCCGATACGGACTCTGAAGTGGAGCTTCGCCCTCTGGCCTGGCATCACACGATGGCAGGGCCCAGCTGCGGCCTTTGCAGATTCGAATTCGCGGTCCACGAAGAATTTGTTGTCTGTATGTATAACTATTTCCTGCTGAGCTTTCTAGTGTATATGGAAAAAATTAGGAGAATCGCTTGATCTGCCACCAAACCGATCGTCGTGTTTTCTTTTGTAACCCCAGGTGTAATGCAAGGCATCACTGACTCTTGATAGACAATCCAGTCAGCCAACGCCACCCTCGCATTTGGAACGGCGAATACGAACCTGGATATGACCAGTGTTCTGCGATAGAGCTTGGATTCCACCATGGTTGCGTCGACTTGCTAAAGCCCAAGACTTTGGTCAACGATTGGCCGTACGCTCTTTCATCAGCTACCGCTGGCCGACAAGATTATCTTTTACCTCCTGTATCTTGGAATAAGCACCGGGAACGGTGGTACAAGAATTCTATTGCTGCTGACCTGACACAAGCTATCCGCGGACGTCTTCCACAAGAGATATGTCAATACATTGCGAGTTTCTGTATGCGCGAGCGCGCATGTCTCAATTTCCGAGATCTTTGGCTAGATCCAGCTCGTCCAAAAGGTTGGCTCAAACTTCTCACCATCGAGAGGAACAAGTCTGTTTGGGCCCAGAATATGGAAGTCGAAGGGCTGCGTTACGTTAGGTCTCTATCGACCCGCCGCCTCACGAAACAGGACACCTTAGTCTACAAAGCCAGATACAGGAAGAGGAGCGCCCGCAACAGACCTGAGGCTTGCTTAAACATCTATTACTCCGAGGATCATGGGGGAATCCGTGACGTGATCATCACAGAGAACAATGAGCTGCCCACTTTGAACATGGAACCGGGTCTCTCTTGGAGTATCTTTCGTCACCAAAAGACGCCGCTGCGAGTCAAACAAAATTACAAAGTGAGTCAACCTAGCTTCTCATATGTTCTGCGCTTACAAGTTCAAATAGGTCACCAGGCTACGCTTTCTGCGTTTCTCTCCAACTCCCCAGTTTGACAGGACGTACGAACCAAGAGCTTGGGGAGTTCTTCCAGAACACTTTGATTCGTTTCCACGAATTCCCCTAGCAATGAAATTACACCCCCATAGACGCCTCTACTATGAATCTGTTCGTGCGGTAGACTGGAACTCTCCTGGTGTATGCGGGTACTCCTTCTATGTAGAAAAGAACCTGATTCGCGGTATCGTTTTGCACAAACTCGGAGAACCAGAGCCAAAGGCAAGGGATGAGTACGACACAGCTGAAGAAACGTGGTTTTACATGCCAATCGACCCCAATGAAAGAGTCTCTGAACTCTGGCGTCGTAAGGGAATGGACCATCTTGGGACCGGAGAAATCGAGACGCTCATAGTTCGAACTACTAAGGGGCGTACCTTCACCGCTGGGATTGATGCTGGCTGCAGCGATCCCGTTGATGGAACTCTCAACTTCACGTACAAAGCAATTGCAATCTTCCCGCAAGAAGGAACTTCTCGAATGTTTTATTGCAGAGCGAATTGGATGTGGGAATACCTTGTGTTCGAGCAGCAACAGCAACATGGTCTCGGCAACAAGGGTGACCTTCAAGGTGTGGTTTCGTGGGATCAACATGAGGTGCAGCATTCATTCGCCCCCCCTAATAACCCGCTTACCAACCTTACCAACCTCGACTGCTTTGTCTATACATCAGCGAGTTTGAACGACGTCAGGACGATCGCCCCATGCCGAGGGTGGTCGGCCGTATTCCATGATCAAATCGTAGGGATGTTATTGACATATGGTGATGGTCGTCGAAGGTCCGTCGGGCAAGTGCGTCTTGATTGCCTGGACCCCCCCTTGTCAGTCTCCTCGGACTGTTTCTGGCTTGGCTTTCCGAACCACGACTCCAACAAAAGCGGTGATTGGCTCCCATGGTATCTGAAGGCCACCAGCTTTCAATTGTCTGAGCCGATGCCGAATAATTCCACTACGTACATCAAGGTCCCCTTTAGCGGAAGACTCGAGTGGGCTGTTTTGGACTGGGAGAGTGCTGTCCGACATGTTGAGGAAGGGGAGCCGTTCGATGAAATCGGCCAAGTTATGCCTGGCGGTCGGAAGGAAGTCTTGGAGCCCGCAAGCCCAGAGATCAAAACATTCGCTGTGCCAATTCGTGTCAAGGAGACTAGCTCTTGATTTCGTTCAGGGGCAAGGGGCATTGAGGTTCAGAGGCCTCGAACTGAGGGTTGTCATTTCAGTGTACCCACGGTTTGTAAGAATAGATACGGATTGATTGATTAGTAGATAGAAGGCAGTGAGGAATCTACTGTTGTGGAAGTAAACTCTCTGAACTTCACAATGATTGGTGAAAAGGGGCCACACTTCACCTCAGAGCACCACATGGTGAGAGGGATGTAAAGTCCTAATTTCTAATTTGCTTGACCAATACATGTTATCCCAAGACACGCTTGAGACCTGAATCTTCCTTTTCTCTCGTGAGAAACAGCAATGTGTTGGATGTAGTGCATTGCCTATGAATCGCCACTTTCCGTGTTCTGAGCAACTGCTGAATAAACAATTGACACTTTTTGCAACTCCCTGGCACCTTGGTCTCTCAAATACATTAACAAATAATGTTAAAATAAACTCCTCAAATGCACCCTAAGCTTATGCTAAGTTACCTCAATAAGCAGCCTAAACTTATGTAAAGTTACCTAAGTCTCGTCTTCGTAGAAGCACATGTCACCCGTTCGAACAGAGAACGTCTTGACCGTCTTGGAAGCAATTGCACGAGATGCAGCCTCGCGAGCTATCACTTTATCCATCTCGTCTTTCAGCTTATGGTCTTCAAGATGTCGCACAGCGTTTTTCGTGGTTACAGTCCCCCAGTTCGACCGCCACTCGAGCTTGCCTCTCAGCGGAATCTCGAGGTATTCCAATTCGGCATTCGGAATTGGTTTGCACACGCCTAGCCATGTTATATGCCCCGTCGGCGGGCAGGGCTCTTCTTCTTGATCAGGCTCCGTGTCCCCGGTGCTTCCAAGCCAAAACTTGTCAGTAATATTGACGGGGTCCTGCAAGTGATCCAGGCGAATTTGCCCAACGGATCGTTGACGGCCGTCTGCATAGGTGAAAAGCAGACCAAATATTTCGTTGTCTACACAGTTTCTCCAGTCACGGCAGGGGGTAATCGTTTGAAGGTTCTCAAGGTCGGCGGACGTTGAAAAGAACTGGTCAGACCAGTCATACGGGCCGGGCCTGGTTGGTGGTCCAAAAGAGAGTTCGATCTTGCGATCATTCCATGTTGTCATTCTCTCGAACCCCAGCCAAGACTGCGCATGTCCGTACTTGTAGTAGAATGTTCGGGCTGGAGCTGTTGATGGTAGATCGGCAAGCCTAGATGTGTTATTTACAGTTGAGGCTCGTGGCTGAGAGCTTAAATCAGCAGACAGAACTTAGTAGATCGGCAAGCGCTTCGTATTTAAGGGGCCGATCGCTGCACCGAATGTCAGGGCCAAGAACAAGACTACGACCGTTGCTTGTGACAACCTATGAGAATGTCAATATGCTTGTGTTGAGGTTTTCAGAAAGGTAACAGCATACTATGAGAGACTCTGATAGAGTCAAACCATCATCATCATCGGACGGGAAGTCCCCTGAGCGAAGCCATAGCTCGGAGATTCGTTCGTCAGGATCAACAGGGAAATAAAGCCAAGTTGATCTGACATTAAAGTAAGCATCAAGGATGGTAGGAGGTAACTTACCCGGCCTATAGGGAACGATTGAGTCAATACAGCTGCATTGCATGCCAATGACATAACCGGAGACTCCACATAGGTTCCAGTCGATCGCCTGGACTGCAGCCTTGTGACTACTCTCGAAGATATCATCGTCGGGAGCGCGAAGGTAGCCAAGGTCTCTGGGTAACGTAGCCCAACGTGTTCGTTGTGCATAGTGATATTCTCTTTCGTATTGTGTGATATCCAAGTTGCGCAGCTTAAGGCCCTACAAGGTCAAGTCAGCCTGGTAAGTACACATTTTATTATATCCAAGAGACAAGACTCACATCAAAGTTCATCCTGATATAGAATGGGAGATTGTAAAGTTGAGGGGGAATGAAGACCCATCGAAGGCCAGGTTCCTCAGTACGCTGAATCCCATCCTCCAAACAGGCAATGACGCTGCGTACTCCCAAACTATCTTCAGAGAAGTACATGCTTAACTCCATCCATGAGTCGACATTTGGTTTGGCCGTAAAAACCATCGTATCATTCTCGCTCATGCGAACGGTTGACAGAGACTTGACGTAGTTGCGACCCTCGATCTCAACGTACCGGGCCCAAACAGTTTGGCCATTGAGAACGGGTAGTGTGACATTATCATCCGGGCTACTAGGATCTCGGCGTTTCCAGGCATCCAGGTGAAGGTTCGTCGCATATTCGCTCAAGCAGTAACTTGCAACGCCCTCGCATACTTCAATCGGAAGTCGATTCCTGATGGCATGTCGTATTTCTAGGGAAAGTGATGATTTGAGCCATCGAGTGCGTTTTGCAACAAAAGACGGCGGTGGTTGAGTGAATGAACAATGGAATCTGAACTTAACGAGGTTTACCTAGATCCTTCTGAACCATGCCCTTTAGATGGCGATTGGAGGTTTTGAGCATCACCTTGGAGGCAGCTTGGGTACCTACATACCTATACAAGTATCAGTGCCAGCATGTGCCAAACGCGTGCCTCTGAGCAACACGTAAAGGTGAATGGCTTTAGTCCCACTACCTATTTGCTAAGGTATTCGTCTTCTATTCTCTTACCACTTCCATTTTCTCCTTCCTTCCTTTCTCTTTTCTTTTCCTTCAACTCATTCCTCAACCCTTCTAACTTTTCCACGGGGTGCAAGAAGACTTCTGACATTATACTGAGGTGCCAAAATTACTTAGTCGAAGATCTTCTAAATCTTTACTGAGTTTGCCTAAGCTTGCCTAAGTTTGCCTAAGCTTGCCTAAGTTTGCCTAAGACTTGTTGTTATTTAGGATCAAGGTCCTAAGTTTTATCACGTCCCCCTGCTTTCCTCACGATGGAACTCGCATTTGAGGACCGAAATCTGAACCCTTCCAAAAGGGACTTGTCGGACTTGGACTTGTATGCAAAGATTTGCAGCCTCTGTGGGTTTGAGCTCACTGTCAGAGATGAAATTGTGGAATGTAGGGTCATATATCACCCTGCTGGTCTTGGGCGCAACACTGACAGCGACAGGGGAGAAAGCCGTGGAGCTTGGAATAGACAAATGCCATGGCAGACGGTCCTATCCCATTGCATTGCATCATGAGTGTATTGAATACGCCAAATCTTTTGTTCTGGGTAATCTGCGAGACCTCGCTGGAGCTGCTGTCACTATCCGTGGGAGCTTCAATGAGCCGGAAGAAATGTGTGGTCCTCGTCGCCGCTGGTTGGAGAACACTGTCACACAGAACCTCTGTGTAGCCCTTGGTGGACGTCTACCCACCGAAATCTACAAAAATGTTGCTACCTACTGTATTCACGAACAGTCAATTCGATTCATTCATGAGAGATGGTCAAGGCAGGGTCGACCTCCAAGAGGTTTCATATCAGTTCCTATCCACAACCACACGACTCTATGGGTCCAATACACCCGTTTCGAAGGTATTCGATACATTCGATCATTGTCTTACGACTCGCAGGGCGGTGATGAGGAAATTCTGTTCAAAGGAAACACAAAGAAGCCTCTGAACATCTTCATCCGCCATAACCATCTGGGGGTCAACAAGCTTGTGATAACCGAAGGACAGGAAAGGCCTCAGAGCGAGGAAGCCCGCGAGTACTGGTGGACCTGCCATGCCCAACAAACCCACCCATTCCACTTCAAAGCGAGATTTGATGTAAGTATTGCCTTCTTTATAATTTGGGTGCAAACGTTCCTGACACGCCTGGGTCTAGGGTATCAAGATTCGAAACCTCGTTTGTGTCAAAACCCCAAATACTTTTCTCAACTTCGGTTGGAGTGGTTGCGAGATACGATGGGTTATACCCCCGTCGCCTGTGAAGTTTTCGCCGAAGATCCCGCTCCCTCATGGTATACCTTGGATCGATGTACAAAGTCTTTGCTGGAATAGGCCAGGGACGTCGGGTTATTCTTTTCAACTTCTTGGCGAATCTGTTTTGCAATGCAATTCCCACCACGACGATGGACCACCAGTACCTTACCACAAATACACGACAGATGATGCCAACGACCTCTTGTGCCTGCATTTTCCCATGAATCTCGACGAAAGAGTCTCTGAGCTCTGGGTCCGCCAATGTCCCGAGAGGAAGGACACTCTCATAGTAAGTTATCAACTTTGTTGAGAATCTATGCGGAAATGGCACTGCTAAACATCAGATGACACAGATTGTCACAGATCGTGGCCGCAGCTTCGTCCTCGGAACTCAGCAAGATGGCCCAGGTGCTACATACCATGTCATTGCCAAACTACCGCGAGATGAACCTTGCCTCATGTTCCACGCACATTCCTTCAGCCTCTCTTGGTTCCATTTCGATTCTGTATTTAGTTGGGAAAGGCCGCAAGCACGACAAATTCAACCTGCTTGGGAGACTGCCCCTGACATGACCATCGGCACTCACTACTCGTCAGCAAAACTAGATGGGGTTAGAGACATTACTCCGTGTATAAACAGAGCGCGTTTTGTTTGGGGAGACGACGAAATTATCCAGGGTCTTCTTTTGACCTACTATGACGATACTCGAACTTGTATCGGTGAGGTTCGGTGTGATAGCCTTGGGACACCCCAGAAAGTAACTTCTGATACTTTGTGGATACGATATGTCGAGTACGAGGAAGCCGGGACTCTCGATGAGAACACCCTCTGCTGCGACTGTGGAATAGAGTGGTTTGGGTTCTCTGAACCACTCCTAGGTTCTTTCTCCTCGCATAAAGACAAGGATGCTCGCACTGGTGAACAGGACTCTGACGAAGAACACTCTTCTCACCAAGGCGATTACTCTGCATCAGATGATAGTGAGGACGAAACAGACAACCATAACGAATATGACAGGTCTCCAACGTATTTGTCGCTGCCCATGAGGGGACGGCTCGATTGGTTCAAGGAGTCTGATGGCAGTGTATGTCTATTGTCGCATCACATGCGCAGTAGACCAGATGACGAGATGCTTCATGTACTGGCCGAAGATGCTGAAACAAATCTCGAGGCCCCATTTCCCAAGTCCTGTACCTTTCTGACTGGAAGAACTAGTAAGTCCAAGATGGTTGGTTGGTCTCGGCCACGAAAACTCATGGCATGCTAACTTGAGCCACCAACTAGCTCCGGAAAATCTTCGAGGGATGGAGAGTATTGACAGGGTTGCCAAAGGGTTCGACAACTATGCCATCTACGGGCTTTGAGGCCAAAATCGCGATTTTACCAGTTCCATAGCTGTTGGAACAATATCACAGGTCCTGTAGATAAAGGGGGAACAGGCTTGGCGTTTAAGGAAAATATGGCAACCATTCGTACAATGACGATTTAATGTCACACTTCATAAGGCCTCCTCAAGCAGAGGGCAACCCAATCCATCTCCAGAAAGACCTTCTTCCGGTCGGTCATTTAGCTAGCCAGCTGACCTATGAAGAGCTTCACTTTTAAAGAGGAAGAACACTACAGGTCTATAGATACATGGATTTAGCCCTAGCCAAAGAGTATTTGCAGCTTTTGAGCATTGCGTCGCTCAGATATTCAAGTGTCAGCGCCAGCGGGTGCCAAACGCGTGCCTTCAACACACGCGACTGTCCTTTCAATCGGCCTTGATCAGTCCCTGGCGCTTCTCTTTCTTTTTCGCTTCTTCGCTTCTCCTCTTCTCGTCAACACCAGTCGGAGGAGTTGGTTTCTTCCCACTTCCTGCTCAACCATTAGGCTTGGTATCTCACGCTCGGCTGTTTCTTTTCGCACACTCTGGTAAGTCTCTCATCTTATATTTACTCTTCAACATATGTTAGGTTTGGCACGATCACCTTTCTCCGTTCAGGACGGGGGTGAGAAGCTTGAAAGCGACGGCCAAGTTTTAAACAAAACTTTCACAAATTCCGAACGGCTTTAGAGCTTTCAGACTAATAATCTATAGATTTCATCGATAATTTCACGCCTCCTCTTTCTCTCAACCTTCGCTTGTCTTTGTGAGCATGATAGGCTCGCAAGCCTGACTTCATGATGGAACTCCAATTCACAGACCCGAACCTAGAGGCTGATGTCTATAATAATGCACATTACAGCGCCGAATCATGCGGCCTTTGCAGATTTGATTTCTCTGAGGGTGATGAGATCATTTCATGCAAGGATCGTCAGTCCGCCCGCCCATCTTCACTCTACACTTGTCCGCTAATACAGGTTATAGGCGAGAGGGTACCGAAGCTCAGGCGAGGCACCTACCGATTCTTAGGTAGGTATTTGGTACCTTATCATCTCGAATGTTTCGAGATTGTCGGTCGTCAGTCGTACCACAGCGTAGCTGCCGCCACCTGGCCTGGCATCGAGTATGAGGGGCCGCATCATCTGGCAGGCCGTCGCCGCCTCTGGCTAGAGAACACGTTTGCACAGAACCTTCTCCGGGCACTTCGCGCGCGCCTCTCTCAGGATATTTGCCAACAGATTGCCACCTACTTTCCTCGCGAACATGCCATGCAAGCCTTTCAACAACTGTGGTCAAAGGACCGTCCACGCCAACCAAGGAATATCTCAGTTCCCGTCCACTGCGGTGTGACATTATGGGCTCAGTATGTTCACTACGAAGGGAACCGATACATTGAGTCGTTTTCGCATGATTCGCGTGGTGGCGACGAGGAAGTTGTTCTTAAATGGGAACCGAAAGCCAAGAAGGTGCCTAATATATTCATCCGTCATAGTGGCCTGGGGGCCAGCAAGATTATCGTCACCGAGGGTAGTGAAGTTCCTGACGTAGAGCATGTTGAAGGGTACTAGTGGACCTCTCACGCTCAGCAAAGTGACATCTTCTACTTGAAAGCAAGATTTGATGCAAGTACCACCAGCATTACCACTCAACGGCGGAACTCAGCTAATATCTCTTGGCCTAGGGTATCAAGATTCGGTGCTTGAGTATTGTCAAGTCTCCAGACAGCCTTGTGGAGTTCCAGATCGGTGGCCCTTGTGAGATACGATGGGCTGTACCGGCCGCACCAGTCAAGCACTCGCCGAAAATCCCACTTTCGACTCATTTTGAATCCCAATTCGTACGGGCCTTCGATTGGAATAAGCCTGGAACAGTGGGTTATTCTTTCTTTGTGTTAGGGAGTGTCATTCTTCACATCAATTCGCACCAGGCTGGACCGCCAGCAGCCCCTGAGGAATACGATCGATTTGCGTACGACGGTGAGAGATACAGACGGCTCTATCTTGCCATGAGCCCTGGTGAGAGTGTCTCAGAGCTCTGGCTCCGTTCCGGCCGTATCAATCGCGCACTCATCGTAAGTTAATAGTCTCCCTTTTCAACTTGTGCGGCCTAGGCAGCCGCTGACCATTAGGCGGTTTAGGTCGTCACGAACTTTGGCCGCAGCCTCGTTGTTGGTACCGATCTCGTGCACCCCCATATGAAATACCATGTCATTGCCAGGCTGCGTGAAAACAAGCCCTGTCGCATGTTTTACGCAGAGACAATTGAATGTCACATCGCCTGGCTTCACTTCGATTCCGTATCCACATGGAGACACCCAGAAGAGCGTCAGATTCAACCTACCCAGGAAACTTGCGTTCACCGGGGCTATCGTACATCAGCAAGACTCCGCGATGTCAGAGAGGTTACGCCTTGTGTATTTCGGACTCCATTGTCCTTGAGCATGGGCGAAAAGATCACAGGTCTACTACTCTCTTACACTGACGGCAGTCGAAGCTCTGTTGGGAGAGTTCGCCCCGACAGACTGGGAACACCCAAGGCTGCGACTTCAGATACAATGTTCCTACAGTACCAAAGCAGATCTGGGGGATTTCCCGAGTCGGACGGACATCTACTGGAATCTGGACTAGACTGGTTCGGATTTTCAGAGCCACCATCAGGTGCTTCTTCCAATGAGGGAAGCGATAACGCCGATGGCGAATCTCACGAAATTAAATACAACTCCCAATCCGGAGACGACTCTGGTGAGGAAAGTGACTCAGACGAGCCTGTCATAAGTACAACCACCATTGCAGTACCTATGAGAGGACGCATTGACTGGATATTGAGAGATTCTGACGAAATCTACGCACTGTCGTATCACAAAAACAGTTCCCCAAAAGACACGATGCACCACGTCCTTGCAGAGGATGCTACTATGCCCAGACAGGAATCTGTCACTAAATCACTGACCGTACTGGTTGGGATTATTGGTGAGTGTGCTTGTACAAAACCATCTCACCTAACTATGGATATTATGGCTAACATGAGGTACAACTAGCTCCATTGTTTCTTACTCAAGCTTACGAAACAGCTGAAAGCACTGGCAACTATGACATCTTCGGGCTTTGAGATTTTGATTGAGATCGCAAAAGTTTGCCCTTTTGAAGACATGATGGGGACAGCATGAGGATTATGTATGACAAGGTAGCTCACGATATTCAGAGGAATGAGAAACAAGGATTCGTTATATGGTAGTTCAACCTAAATAAAGACCCAGTCACCTCGACCTCGAGATCATATTGAAGCCGTGTTCTTAGGCGTGGCTCATGAAGAAAAGGTATCGTGTCTCATGATTCTTCACTTTGTAACAACATCTACCTACCTCACGTCACTCACAGACCAGACGACTACCTAAACGTTTAATTAAATTGAGAAATATAATTAATGACCACTGGCATTTGAGATCGCAAAGATGCTCTTGAGATTCTTGTCTCTTCATTCCAGCTGATGAAGCTTTGCCATTCGCGTTACCCTAAACCGGTCCCCCCATTCCAAACCCTTACTAGCGTCATATCTTAACCCCCTGTTTTGGAGTTTCAACTCAACACCACGTCTCATCTTTCTCACAACACAAAGAACAAACATGACAACTTGCTCTCACTAATCTCATCGAATAATCCATTCCCGTGCTATGCTCGACCTATAATTGTCTCAACCCATATCTCCATCGGCCCGGTCCGCAATCTTCCCTAGTTCTATCACCCTTAAATCTCACATCTCATTCCTCACGATGCTCTCATCATTCACAACCAAGCTCGCCCTCAAAAAAGCAGGTATACCAAGCGATGTCTTCGACTTTTCGGAAAAGAAGCGCGAGCCAAATAAACTGCGCAAAAACCCACCAGCAGATCTCGATAATGAAACTGATTCAGGCTGGTCGTCTTGGATGTCTGTTCGGTCTCTGCCGCTTACTGTTCAGCCGTGGTTGACGCCTCCGCCTGCTGCTGTTGCCAAGGGTAGACTCCCGGGGATAGGAGATAAAGCACCCGTCGATAAGACGGGGAAGTTGAGGGTTGGTGGGGGCAAGAGAGTTCTGCTTGTGTTTTTACGCTGTGTTGGTTGTGCCTGTAAGTTACCATTCTCAAAATGTTGAGGTCAATGCTAATGATGCGCAGTTGCTCAAAAGACATTTATTAATCTTCGTACAATGGCGAATCGATATGGAGATGCATTAACATGCATAGCCGTATCCCACGCCTCAGAGCAAGCAACGCAAAAATGGGTGTCCCTCCTCGGCGGCGCATGGAGCGTTCGCGTCATAGTCGATGAAGAGAGAGCTATTTACGCAGCTTGGGGTTTAGGGACGAGTAGTATGTGGTATGTTCTTAATCCAACGACACAAGTTCAAGGATGGAAAGAGTCCGGATGCTTGGGAGAGAAAGTGGCTGGAGCGATACAGAGAAAGGAGACGAATGAGAAGAAACCAGTAAATACGAACAATGTGGACGATGAAGAAGATGATGGGCCTTTGACGACGATGGGAAACAAGTGGCAGGAAGCTGGTGCTTTTGCTATTGATGGAACTGGTACGGTGATTTGGGGTGGGAAAGCGGCGAGGGCAGATGATGTTATGGAGCTGGAAGATGGAGCGAGGATCCTGTTAGCCTGATATGAAGGAGCATAGATATCTTAAAAGAAATGTGAAACGAATCTGTTCTAACCGGCGATGTATCTATCAACGGGGACGCACAACAAGCTGCCCCGACACCTCCTCTTTCTCCCATTCTCTCCCAGCCCAGCTCTCCAGCAACATATCAATGCTCATATGCTGATTTACATTGGGCTGGTCGCTGACATTGATGAAGCATTTGCTATACAGAAAGTTCCAGTCTAATCGACCCCGCCAGAATATCCTCAACCAAGTCAGTCCTTCTTGTGAAGGGTTTCCACCATGGAAGGTTTGGCCAGTGGACGGAATCACTCTCATCAACTCAACGACCGCGCCGCTAGGGTGAAGCAGTCTAGCCCCTATCCACATCTCTCCGGCCGGATCAACCTCGATGCGTGGAAGGAGATGATCAAGACGGACTTGTCCTACCGACTCCCTCGAGCCATCAGAGTAAGTGAAGATGAGACCGACAATCCCAGTAGACCCTGGGATCCAAGTTTTGCACGGGATGACTTCAGTCACACCTCCAAGTCTAACCGACTTATTGAAGACCTGCTGGACACTCATCCTTGAGGACCATGTAGATGGGTCGTGGAAAGATGGAGGAGCTTCATTCTTGTCGTGGCGTTTGTCCTCACAGTCGAATGCAAGACAGTCGACGCCATCTCCCTGTGAACTGAACCAGAGACGAGAAGGTTGGGCGGCCAACAAGGCCACACGTTCGAAAATCGCATCTGGCGGGGTCATATTGGCGTTTGCTCCTAGAAAGAAAACGCGACTCTTGCTCGTCCGCAGCTAAGTTGCATCAGTATCCATTTACACGTTATCGTGTGTCGGGCCTTTATAACGTACCAGAAGTATATCGCGCCAGAACGCTGGCCTTCTCCTCAAGCGCCAGACTTCGACGATCCGCTCGTGCTTCTCGACTGGAAAATATAGCCACACTGCGCGCAGTCGGTCTCCCCGACCTTCACTGTAGAATGCAAAGTCCTCACCCTCACGATGACTATGCAGGTAAAGCAGGTCTTCGTCGAGCAGGCATGCTGAATAGCCAGTGATCTCAGGGCTTTCGCACTCCAAAGCCTTGAAGTAGTGTCGGCCACCGGTCCTGTCATCGAGGTTCAAGTACCAGATGGCTTCCAGATTTGGTGGTAGCAACGACCACCTTGCCAGCGGAGCTAGAACGTCTTCTTGAGATTTCACGACGTGCAAATCGCGCATTTTAAAGCCCTGCGCGGTTCGTCTTTGTCAATCCTCTACCTTTAGCTCAAATCGCGGGCCGACTCACATCACTGTACCATTTCAAAAAGCATCGCTGCGACTTGTTGGTGTTTTGGAAAGTCCACCAAATTCCCGGCTGTTCATAGTTGGAGCTTTGTGTCACATCAGTCTCACCAAAGGAGATTGCCCTGACTCCAAGGTGGTCTGAAGCGAAATAGACTCCGTCCGAGAGTTGCTGCGGCTCGGAGACCACCAAGAATGCGTCCCTGCCAGCCTTGTTTGACAGACCCTGAAGGTAGCGAGCATTTTCGAACGTGGCCGATATTCCCCAAATTGGTTTTGTTGGATCGACAATGAAGTGCAGATATCTGGCCCTTTTGCTAGAAAGGATATTCACTAAGTTTGGTGCAAGAATCAAGTCTCTCACGCCTATTCGAGCCTGTTCCTGAAGATCGCCCAATGTGATATCTTCATTCTCCCCAGAAATATCAAGGCAGCGCTGTCGAAGAACCAGCATTCTTTCCCGTTTTCGGGAATCCGAGGGTGGAAAATCATGGTGTAGGAGGTTCAATACAACGTTCTTGTCAAAAGAAGGGAATCTTCTCGCGCAGTCTAGGTGTGCAGCAAGAACAAAGGCTCTGGTTCTCCCCCACTGGCGTGGTGAAATATACTGTGGGCTTTCAGGATTGAAGACCAATGTTTCGTAGTCGAACTCAACCGTCGCCGGCGCCCTAGAACCCGCTGTAGTGACAAGTCAGCATTTGGATAACTCGGAATAACAGAACTAAGTGAAAAGACGGACATTCAGGAGGATAGACAGATCTTATTGCTCTGTCCCCATCGCAAAAGTCAAAAAGGCAAAGACAGCAAAACGGCATCCAATGGAAACTCTGCCCTTCCTCCATCGTGTATCAATGGAAAGTGTATGGAGACTTGTATTAAGTAAGAGCCACTTCCTCAGTATACTGAGGTTATAGGTGACACCACCAGTTGCATGTCCAACCTTGGACTTTTAAGTCAAGCTTCATCTCAGCTAAGGTATGCAACACTCTCGAAGAACACCGTTTCCCACAGTTCCAGTGGTTCAAGCATGCCGACAAAGGAAGGAGGCATCAAGTGGAAGCTAGAGATGGACATTGCTTTCTGATCTAATGTGCCTGCCCGTTCTATGCACTTGAGCGCGGTTTGATGGCGTGTCAAGCAAGACCCGCGACGTTTGTATTGGCAAGAGAGCAGCATGGCAATCATTCCAACCAATGGCAATCAATTTTGCAGACGGAAACCAGCATTGGATTCCCGCACAAACCCTGGCCTATTTGATGGCTTTGTGATGAAACGCTTTTGACCGCTGTAGCGAACGGCAGCGAGCCGGAAATGTGGCCTCTGGGATGTTTTGGGGTGTCCTTTGCGCATTGTGACTGGTTGTACGGTTGCACAGAGCAGTGCCTCTTTTTCTTCCCTCGTCGACCGCTTGGTCGTTCAAGACGGATCACAAATGACGTCGATGGGAGAATTGCAGGCATCGATTTTGTGGGCGTTTGGCCCTCGTGATGGTCAATAAATGAGCAGTCATCCGATACTGTCGGATAGACTAAGAAGCCATCATGTATTGGAGTTGGCACCCGCTTGGCTGCGGCGCATCTGATGTGAGAGCCAGGTACCGTACGCTCATGCTTGTTGCAGTGAAGTAATATTCTGGACCAAATATCGAGATGATGATATCGTGAGAGTCAAAGTGGGGAAACAAGAGAAGAAGACCTTGATCATGCTTGAAAAGGTAAGATAAGCGGGGGTCCGATTGTTTACCTCAGCCAGCCGCTGCTTCAACACCATCCATCGAAAGAGTAATTAAGTTTGAATGGCTTGCAACTTGCCAGCAATTTGCGACTTTTACAGCCACCTCTCGTCAGCTTGAAGTCAGCTCCCGGCCCCAGCAAAGTCATGGCACGACGTTTGACTGGTCACAGGGAGACACACTGTGCTTCAGCTTTGAAGGAAACGACCGACTAGGTAACTCTGAGCAACCCGGACTCTAAATAAACCTCAAAAAGGTGTGGTCGTACTTGTAGCGGTAATAGTTGCTTGTAAAGTGTGTGCGCCATAGTCAACAGAAGACACGAGCTGAAAAGACATGGCTGAAGTCAAACTACATACAAAACAAATAAACACTTGTAACATGGCGAACGGCGGAGAGAGGTAAAGTTCCAGACCTCCCCTGTCCCTTGGTGTGGCTTGAGGCCGGTGGATGATCTCCCGAGACCAAGACGTGTCCAGTGCTGACCTGACTTGGCCTGAGTGAGAACAGGAATGATACATAGATACGCACGGGGAAATCGTACAGACGTGCCGTATCGCAGGTGATACGAAGAAATGGATATACTACGTAATCAACAGATCGCCGAGAGTAAGATTGGCCAAGACAACCCGCAAGGGATGAGCTTAACTCGATATGTATCTCTCCAGGCAATTATTGCGCGTTGAGGCTGATCTTGTTCCTGAGATTAGCACAAAAGGGATACGCTAAGTTCAAGGAGAGTTATTTGGTGGCCCAGAAGGGAGACTCAAAGGTATGGCAGTGGCGCAGAAATATCGGTTTGAGAGAGTAAGAGGCTGATTTTTGGTGAGACATGTTGGGGAATTCAATGCCGCCTAGAGCTGATCGAGATGCTAAGTAAAGATACGAGTGAGGCGTATCCTCTGCAAAAAGATAGCTTAATCTGTCCTACCGTCGAGAACAAGAGGGTGTCTCGGCATTCTGAGATTGGGTTGTTGGCTGGGCGAAACAGGCACTAGACTCTTGAGGTTCTGCTTCATATCTTGTTGATTTCTGGTATTTTGCAGAATTCGATTCAATAGTTTGGTGGAGTCTCTTAGCCTTTGCACAAAGCATGACGAGAGGCGGAGAGCGAGCTGTTTGTATGTATGTTAAGGTCTCTCCAAAGCTTAGAGCACGCCTTGTACCTGTCCGTTCATGTGTGTTGGCAACCCAAGGGATAACTAGAGTTCGGAGGCAAACACACGGGCCGTCGTTGGGCGTGTTCACCGAATATTCCCGTATTAGCCGATGTTGCCATTGATGATTGATCAAAGTTGATCAAGTCGTGTTATGTTGGTTAAAGGTGGATAATTGCTTCAGGTTGATTTGATATATCACGATTGGGTGTGATGTGTATAAACGGGGTTGAAGCGAGAGCCAACAAACGCCACATGAACATTACGTTCATTCTGTCAATGACTTTTGTCAGAATCCAAAAAGGTTCTTACTGATTGTCAAGCTTGCCAAAGAGAGATGGATATCGTATCTCAGTGCAAATATCTCGATGCTAGGCATGTCCATGTCTACAAATGCATCAAAAAGGGAGGACGGTCTCCTCCACACACATGCCGACATCATTACAGTCGCAGATTAGTTAGCTTTACCTGCATCTTCCCCACACAAACACAGCATCTTCCATTTGAGGCTGCATCTCAGCAGCAGGGCAGGCAGGGCAGGCAGGGCAAGCAAGGCACCATATCCGTACCCGCCACGGACATATCCGGCCGTGAATGTGTGTCCATTTACACTTCACTTCAGGTTTGTTACGACGTTGGGTTATTTTTGCCATCAATGATCACCTTTGTGGTGCCCAAATCCAGAATTCCCATCCCACAAAGGGGTCCTGAGTTTGAGGGGAATTGGAGGACCGACCCCTCGGCGTCCAGAACCCGCCCTTTCAGGAACGAGAAGCTCTGATGAGTGGTGACTTTATGACAAAGTATCATCTGATATTAAGTTGTGTGCGATGCAACCTTTATGGTCGGTAGCGGCACAACAATCTGCAAGCCTGGGCATGGCATGGCATGGATGCATCACAAGCGGCCAGGAGTCACCAGCCGGGGATAGATCCAGGGCTAGGACAAGTGGATACAGCCCGTACAGCGGCAGGGGTGGACTCCATAGCAAGAATCAGGGTCCCTGCTCGATATCCTCCCCTGTAGATACTGACACAGCGCTAGCCAGGAGGTGCCATGAGTGCGAAGCAGCTGTAAATCCGACAAGTTAACGACGCACGCAAGTACGCTGTCTACAGGTTGTGTCGTACAGCGTGCCGTCAATGGGTGCGGCTAATGTGATGTGATGTGATCTGGGAGAGGCAATCTTTGGGCCCAACGTTTAATTGCCGTCGACTCTTTGTTAGTGGAGGCCAAAACAGTCAGCAATATCGGTAAATCGCACGGTATATCGAAATAAGATACTCTCGCGTCCTATGGGTTGGAATTATTCCATCCAGAAGTACTCCGTAGAAGCCAGACCAGACCAGGGCAGGGCAGGGCTATTTAATTCCATTAGGTTCACTGCTAATAACTAAAGATATTGCGGAGGCTTGCTGCCACGCGCTGGGCGTTAGCTTGGTGGAGATCTCTCTCTCTCTCTTCTGATGGATATCATTTTGTATGGTGAGTTGACCCTGAGACTCGCCCCGTTCTGCGCCCTGGGCTGTTACTGTCAAAGTCACCCGCCGCATGCCAAATATTCCCATCCCTCCAGTCTACTGAAAAACATTGACCCTTTTGTGATCTTTGCTTGCAGTTGACGCTGCAGAGGCTGCTCTATTATCCCCGCTCTCTCTCAAGGTTACAAAGGCCTACTCGCTGTGGCGGACGGTGAGCTGTCGGGCTAATTGGCGTTGACGGCGGGCCAGCTGGAGAAACACTGTACTCAGCACTGTGATTGCCTAAAGAGTGCAGTGAATCTCAAGTAGCAGCCGTAAAGGTTAGTTCGTAAATACACCTCGATAGATCGTCCAAAGTGGTGAGGACGAGAGTGTAAATAGGGCTTAGGTCAGCTCATTCTTGAATAAGTCCATTTACCTGCAGGTGAGCTTATGCTCTCGGAGGTGTGGACTATTTACAGTACAGCTGCACATTGGAATAATACCCGAGTCCCGGGTACAGTGCGACCTGTATCTTACACCCTCACCTCAGATCCCCTGGGTACCTGGTGCACTAACTAAAACTCCCCGTGTGCCCTGTAGTAGGCCTGTGCTGTGTCTAGGTCCCCAATAACAACGACTACCGTAACGAGGTATCGTTAGGTCAGGTCCCCCCTCAGATCAGAAGGACCACCTCAGTTGGGCTCGGTTGATTCTCAGTTTCTCAATGTCTAGGTCTCTCTCTCTCTCTCGCCTTTTTTGTCTCGATTGATTGATTTGATCTCTCTCCCTCAGACTAAAACTTAAACTAAACCAAACGGGCTCTCCATGTCCATGCCCATGTCCCATGTCTATCCCACTAGACGCCATCTCTTGTCATTCCCATACACATCCGCATTTTCCAATCTTGCTTTGTCTCTGTTTTCTTTCTTCATAATTCTCTCTACTATCAACTCTACTACGCTTCTTGTCCTCTGAGCTGCTCTGGTACTGTTCTGTTCTGCCATACCCGATCCCTTTTCTACGCCCAGATCCAATACAGCGAGCACCGTCGTTTCGCCCTCGCCCCCCGACGAGACAAGTCGAGGTGAACCGGCGTCCCTCGCACCGAGCGGCCCCCTTTTGGCAAAGAGCCCCCCCACAGGCACAAGCACAAGCGTCTCCGACACGTCCATAGTTCACTCACTGTCCACTGTACTGTTCACCATCTCTCGAATCCTACATTTCCATCATTATCCCGCGCCCCGGGAAATTGTTGTTATACCGACTGCAACTGCAATTCCTCACCTTTCTCGACTCGCACTCGCACTCGTCGCCCCTTTCTGTGTTCGCCATTGCCTTTCGGTCGTATACGCTATCGTTTCGCTTCGTTTTACAGTACTTTCTTGCTCCGTACAACTTCGCATTTCCACGGCCTCGTTCGCTATTCCCACCCAGGAACAGCGCCTCAGCGACCAGATTGAGATTCGCCCCCTGGCTTTCACCATAGACTTTGTTCGGCATTGGATCGCATGCTGAGATCTCGAGACCCTCTCTAGCGCTCAGAATCGCAACGACGTTTTCCTACTGCTCCATTTTCCATATTCCACAGCTTTCGCCGCCACCGAGCAAAGAGAGATCCCCACGAGCCCAGACGCACCCAAACGTCGTCACGCATACTGCCGTCAGTCCCCGCAATCACTTGAACCGTCCCGGGGCTCGCTCGCTGCTCCATATGGACGCCCAGACCACAACGGCCGAACCGCAACATCCTTATCCTTCCAGTCCTTGGACTTCTTCCTCGACGATATCATCGAGCACACCGAATCCGACGACACCATCGGCGACGAGTACTCACAGCGCTTCCGCCGTCGAGGGCTCCTTCTTCCCCGACCCGTCCGCCACACAATTCCATTCTCACCTCGATCTCCTCCCCTTTCTCCTCCCACAACAGTCCAACATCTACCACGCTCAACTCCTCCACTACAATAAGCTCATCTCCCCATCCCGCGGCGGCGGCCTGCAGACACCGCCACTCCCCCCCGTCATCTCTGCTCCTCATATCCAGTCAGCGCCTCGGTCGCGATCTTCTAGCAAGGTGTCGCTAAGAGACGCCTCCGGTAAGGGGAGCACAGCTGGAGGCCATGGGAGTAGGTCACATCAAAATTTAGACAAGAGTCGATCGGTTGCCGCCTCCAAGGAGGTTCCGTCCAAAATGTCTTCAAAGCAGGCCGCCGACTCATCGAGGCATTTACCCCGACGGTCCGCACCTTCGGCTCAGTCCCACTCTAGTTCAGTGCCCTCGACGCCTCACCAGCACGCTCGTCAATTTTCTGAAGACCGCGAGCCGTCGCCCACGGGGACAAATAACCATTCCCCACGATCAGCTTATTCTGAGACACATAGCACGTTATCCTCGCTTCAGCCTTTACCGCCGCGAATATCGAGTTGCAAATACGAGACTGCTCAAATAAATTCTCGGAGGAGAATACCGTATTCGGTCGGCAATGACCGTCTGGAAAAGCTGGACTTGAGGACGGTCAAGAGCAAGTTGACCGAGGATGAGGAGCGAAAGTTAGCGACAGATATGAGAGAGGTCTACGACCGATTACTCCCCACCGCTGCTGTCGAGGAGAATCGCAAAAAATTAGTCTCGAAGCTCGAAAAGACTTTCAACGACGAATGGCCAGGCCACGATATCCGCGTGAATCTTTTTGGGTCTTCCGGGAATCTTCTTTGTTCGGATGATTCTGATGGTACGTCCACACCCTCAATCTGCATGATTTACAGACTAACCCTATCTAGTGGACATTTGCATCACAACCGCATGGCGCGAATTGGAGGATGTCTGCATGATCGCCAACCTCCTAGCAAAGAGTATGTATGTTTCCTCAACTCACCAACGACACGCTGACATCAACAGGGGGGATGGAGAAGGTTGTCTGTATTTCAGCCGCCAAAGTGCCCATCGTCAAGATCTGGGATCCTGAACTGGGCCTTGCCTGCGATATGAATGTCAACAATACCCTTGCGCTCGAAAATACACGCATGGTTCGAACATATATCGACATTGACCCGAGAGTTCGAGAGCTTGCAATGATTATAAAATATTGGACACGGAGGAGAATAGTGAATGATGCCGGTATGTTGTTTTGCCACCCCTTTGAACTTGTCTAACGGTTTGATAGCGTTTGGTGGCACATTGAGTTCCTACACATGGATCTGCCTAATTATTGCGTTCCTGCAGCTTCGCAGCCCTCCCGTTCTTCCTGCATTGCATCAGTCGCCACATAAGTTACCCAAAGCCGACGGTACCACCCCCGACTTCGCGGACGATATTGACAAACTGGCTGGTTATGGAAAGAAGAACAAGTCATCTACTGCGGAACTTTTGTTTCAGTTTTTTCGCTTCTACGCTCATGAGTTTGATTACGATAAGCACGTTCTCTCAGTGCGGCAGGGCAAACTGATCACGAAGCACGAAAAGAAGTGGCATTATGCGATCAACAACCAGCTCTGTGTGGAAGAGCCATTCAATACTTCTCGTAACCTCGGAAACACCGCTGATGACTATTCTTTTCGCGGTTTACATATGGAGTTACGTCGAGCATTTGACCTGATTTCGGTGGCAAACTTCGAGGAGGCATGCGAGCAATATGTGTTCCCTAAAGAGGAGGAAAGAGTATGGTCTCGACCGGCGCCGCAACCTCGACCTGCTCTGCTTAGGAGCTCCTCGCAGACACATTCAGGCCGAGGAGGTCGTGGAAACCACCGTGGCGGAAGACATAACAATAATTACCGAGGCGGAAATTCGAATCGGCGTGCATCCGCAGGTGTTCCACAGTTCGACGCCAACAACAACAATATGTTTATGCAGCCGGTCAACATGGCACAGGATCTACAGTGGTACCAAAACCAACAGTTCCAGTTTCAGTACGCACAGCAGGATCTCATGACTCAAATGGCGTTGCACCAGGAGAACATGCGACTCTTGTATGCCAGTCAATCACCAGCATTTATGCAGCATCAAGCCCAGGCCCAGGCTCAGGCTCAGGCCCAAGCTCAAGCGATGGGTCAACAGCAGCAACAACAGAGGATGTCTACAAGTACAGGCTCCGGCCAGCAGCAGCCTCAACAGACATCAGATCGCTCCAGGACAAATTCATTTGATAATCCGCCGCTCAGCGCTCCTCTTCGACCGGACTTGTATGCTCTATATGGAATGACTTTGGGCACGCCCTTTTTCCCTCAAGCGGGCGCAAATTATGGAACGTATCCCTCGTCTCCTGCTAGTACCTCGGGAGCTACCCAAGACTTTCGTCGCCCGCTTCAGCGAAATGGTATAAGTAATGAAACAGGTGTCCAAGGATCCAATAGTGCTCTTCGTTCACATTCGCAGCCCGCATCTCGATCTCCATCTACAGCACAAGCAGCTCCTGGTTATTTCGGTGCCCAGTCCTACAATGGTCCAAGCCATTCTCGAGGTGTCAACGGCAACCCAATTCCAAGCTTCATGTCTGATGATACAGAGTTCGACGAGACCCCCAAGGCACACACGGACTCCCCACAATCGGAAGAGGGTAAATACTCTGTGTATTTGTCGGAAAGCCCAAGTCCCAGCAAGCAGCCTCAGCCACAGACTGTGACGAATGGCCTTGCTTTTGGGGATGTCTCCGGTCAGAGCCCAGGGCGACGACGACTCTCGACAGATCAACTTCCTCAGACAATTCTCGACCGCCGAATGAAGAGGACATCCCGATCGCCTTCGCCGTTAGGCCATGCACGAAATTTCTCATCCAATGCATCATCGGCACCTTTGGCACAGGGACCTTTCCCTGGGGGTCAAAACAAGAACCTTTCGCGCCCATTAGTTGTTAATGGATCTAGCCTCAAGACAAGCGTGACCCAAAGCCCACGCCAACCACCTTCGGGAACAGGTAGCACTACATCGGATGAGTCGACCAGCCTTGAGAACCCCTTGCAGATTCACGGCTCAAATGGTGTTCCCAGCTTTCCTGTTGATGGACCCATCATGCCGCAGGCTGTACCTGAAGGAGCTATGAACCAACAAGGTGCCTACAATTCAGTTCCCGTAGTGGCCAATAGTTCCGCTGCGCCAATGATGGCTGCAGCTCCATCCACGGCAGACGATCCATCATTCCGCGACCGTATTGCGATGATGAGCGCTTACTACATGGCAAGTCCTCACATAGTACAGGACCCGATGGTGGCAGCAAACTCTCGGTTATCCCCTTCGACACGCCAGCGCCTGATGTCGCGTCAGCAGAATGGCATGATTGCTCCTCTTGATCTTGCCATTGCTGAGAACCGTATCAACAGACCACCAGTTGGTCAAGATTTTGCTCATCTTTCACCAGTTTACGAGAATCGCACTCCTTCTCCCACGGTCCTTCGAAAGGATGGACCTTGGAAGTCAGAGAAGCAGAACAGTCCTAAAACAGGACGAGGAGATGGACCAAAGTCCAGCCAGAAAACCGAAGAGCGAGCTCAAGAGCCTCAGGAGGGTACAAAATCTCAGAAGAATCAGAAGTCGGGTTCTCAAAAGGTCAATGGAGCCCGAGAAAACGGCCACGTTCGTGGAGCTAGAAGTGAAACCGACGGTGGTTGGCAAAAAGCAGGCAAAGGAAAGAAGAAGGGCGCCAACAACAACAACGGACAACAAGGAAATGGCGAGCAGCCCCCCAAGCACGAGTCAGAACGAAAGGGTGGTTAACCGACATTCTCGATCTGAGAAGTGACGAGACATGTCGACAGTCCCCTTGATGAGGCTCCTTGGGGATAAGCCTGTAAAGCAGGACCTTGATCTTGACCGGCAGTTTGTCATTTTGGATAAGGCAACTTGCAATGTTGACACGCAATCAACGATTCACGATGACTTGAAAAGCCTAAAAGCATGAGGGGGAAAGCTGGCACATTGGAGATTGTTCTGGATGGCTTCCAGATATTGACATATGTAGCAAGAGTGTACGATTGATGTCCAACGGTGTTACTCATATCATTTATAACGCAGCGGTCTGCGGACTTGACATACAGATTGGCAATGTCGGGAAGCGGCATGGAAGAGCAGAAGGACAACAAAGCCGGATCCGCTGGCTAGATGAGGATGAGAGTGAAGATGGATGGATGGTTGGGTTGGCTGGTCGGTCGGTTGGTTGATTGCAAGCACACATGGAAACGAAGAGGCGTTGGCGTCTTTCTACACATGGCCGGTTGGGAGGAGGCGTTTTATATACACAGCTGCAATTGCATTTAAGACAAGTCCATCTTAGGGGGGGCAGGACAGCGGTTCATATCCTTACAGGCTGCATGGGCAAAGAAGGGTCAAGCGGTTTTTTTTAGATGGTTGTCAGTAAAAAGCATGGGCAGATGTAACGAAGCACAGAAAAGAGATAAATGAAAGTTTTAATGCATATTAGTTTCTTGAATTGCGAAGACTGGCCCATACTCTGCAGATCAAACCAAAGGGTACTGATGATGAAGCATTTGCCATCCCCGCGGTCTCCACTCGGAGCTCCGCGGTGATGATCTCCGGATCAGATAATAACTCGGACTCCTCTACGATTTCTCGCCCTTTCGTTCCGTATAGCCGCCTAAAATCGGTGGGGATGATGCCGAAGTTCCGTCAATCTAAGACGCAAAGCACGATTACATGATGTATTATCCAATATCCTGCAGCTTCTCGCGCGGTAATTTTGTTGACTCCCGAGAGCTTATCAATAGAGGGGTTTCATTACTAAGGGCTATGGTTGTCTTTGAGAGGCTGAAATAGCGCTGACACATTGGTTCCGTTAGTTGCCGTTTGATAGATCCGGTGTGTAAGTTGAAGTATAAAGACGTCGGTATGATTCCACTTCAAGGTCATTGTGTTCCTCACACTTGTTCTCATACCTCAGACTCTGTTTTGATCATAGGAGAGTTTTGTTTGTTCACGCACACACTATCACAATGAGCATGCTTTCAGCTGAAGTCACGGAATGGGGTCAACCTCCCAAGTCCATCAAAGTCCTCCCTCCTGCAGCTCCAGTTCAAGGCAACGAGACTGAGATCAAAGTCCTCGCTGCAGGTCTTCACCAGCTCGTCCGCACACGGGCAGCGGGTAAACACTACACTGCTACTGAACTCCCCCACGTTCCCGGCGTCGACGGCGTCGGCATTGATGTCTCAACCGGCAAGAAAGTCTACTTTTCTCTCCTCGGTACAAAGCAGGGCAGTTACGCCGAGATCGTCAATGCGCCAACTCACAACATCGTTGAGCTTCCCGAGGGTGTAGACCCTGTTGTTGCAGCTGCTATGGTCAACCCCGTCATGGCGAGCTGGATGGCGCTGCGGAAGCGTGTTGATTGGACTGGAAAGGAGGGCAAACCTTACAAGGTCTTCATCAACGGCGTCACCAGCGCCAGTGGAAAGATCGCTATCAAAGTAGCTCGTCACCTCGGCGCTACGACCATCGTAGGAGCAGCCCGCAATAAAGACGCGTTGTCAAAGCTCGATCTCGACGCCAGCGTTGTTCTTCAAGAACCCAACGCCACAGACTTCTCCGCCGCAGCAGACGCAGACATTGTTCTCGACTTCCTCTACGGACCGTGGCCGAATGCGTTCTTGCTGAGTCCCAGCACAGCTAGTGCCAAGAACCCTATTACGTGGATCAACATTGGGTCTATGGCGGGTGATATGGGCGATATCTCGGCGATGGGGCTGAGGAGGAGAGATGTCACGGTGCGGGGCTCGGGGCCGGGAGCGTGGGATCCGAGGGAGCTCGGGGTTGAGACGGAAGGAATGTTGAAGGTTCTCGTGGGATTGGGAGATGAGGGGTTGAAGAAGTATAGAATTGAGGATGTTGAGGAGGGTTGGGGTGATAAGGGGAGGGATCGAGTTGTTTTTGTGTTTGGTGAGAAGGCTTGAGGGGGAGTGGGTGAGTGTAGGGTGAGGAGGAAGATAATGAGATTCTATGAACGACAATGACATCAATTGACTTTTACCATTGATAAATTGCAATCTCTTTTGAGAATTTATTGTTCGAAAATCGCATCAAAACTATGCATACTGGCATAATATGTAGGTAGTTAATGTAGAAAGCAAGATCGAATGCCTCAGTCCGACCTCAAACAGTCTCGATAAAAAGTTCATCAGCCTTTAGCTACGGCTTTGTCCCCCTCTCAATCGACCCAGGATCGGCAACAGCACACAAGAGCAAGTCATGTTTTGACATTATAATCATTATCGGGTTCCGAGAAATAAAAGGTGTCCACTGAATAAATGCATCAGCTGCGCAGGGTACCAAGATGAGCTTGCTTGCCACGCAGCAGCCAGGGGAGACAAAACAATTTAGGACTTTTATCCTAGATGATGAAAAGATTTAGGCATTCTGGGGCCTAGGTTTAGGGGAGTCATTACTGAGTTTATTTTGGCACCCTCATCTGATCCCCCATCAATAGTAGTCGGGCATATTATGCTACAGAAATGATATCATCGCATAAGTGAGGCAGTTGTCAAATGGCTTGTTATGCTTTCAACGCCTATTGATGGTTCTGACCGTTAAACGTTGCCTGGAATACGATGCATGTACCGTACGTACATGTTTCATGCATGCAGCCTTTGATGCCTGCTCTGCTGAAAAGCTGACACGGAGAGAAACAATGCGCTGAAATAGAATTCAAATAGGGAATATCGTATTCATTGATAACACGGGCTTTTGATTGCTCTATGACGGAAAATTTGAGCGGATATGGTTGACAAGTCCTTCACCATGGGCTACGTACGATGCTGTGGACCTTCACGTCACATGCTATTATAAGAGGAAGTATTAGAAGTTGGTCATGACGAGTTTATAAATAGCAAGAGACAGGCTGGTAGACTTGAAGAAGTGTTTGAAGGCAGCTCAGTTGCCGATGTATAATAGATGGTTCATCCCATAGCCCACTGATGAGTCCTTGATGAGTCCTATACCGCGATAAGATTGAGAGTGAGTAAGTTTTTGAGACTCCTCCCCCGCAATGCATCTTACCTCTTTGCGCCAGATGCAGCAAAGAACTTGCTGGGGATAGAGATCCACTGAACAAGCAGGCATTGCATTCCCATAAATGTCATGCTAATTGCATCAGTTATTGACAGTGTAACTTCTGTAGGCAAGTACCGTATCATGGATACTTTCTTCTGTCTACCGCCTCTTACCGTTGCTCAACTCAATTCATCTGCCTATATCGGAACGGTCCGTACTGTGCCAATCTCATGAAGCAGTTCTTGTCCAAGTCAAATCACCATTTGTTTTCTTTCTTCTCACCGTCTTCTCATAGACTCGGATTCGTTTTGCAGCCCCCTCTCTTCATCACTGTCGCACAAGACAAACTAAGAGTTTATGGGCGCCCGCTAATAAAGGCCCAGACGCCAACTTGTGATTGCCCCAGTTTTCAACCCCAGCTTCGTCAGAACCCCCAGACTCCGTCCGAGCAGAGCCAGAGGCTGAGGGAGAGTCCTGAACCCACCTTTAAGACCCAACCGTCCTCCCTCCACTTTCTGTCAATGACTCCCCGGGTTCCGACCTTGACCTTGCATTGATTCTGATCTAAAGACGACGACAGTAAGCGACGACCTAAATCACCGACTTTCGAGACATCGCTGTTACCGTCAACAGATACAGCCTTCACTTGACTCGTCACTACGCCTTCGCGCGCCTAATATTCCCAGAGGAGTTTGGTCTGGACGTGGCAATACCAGTTCCAGCCGTCTGGAACCCTCCACCAACGTCGCACCAGAGATCCGACAACCCCGGCCGTACGGACGATCCAACAACGACTTGGACTCTACATACACGAAACAGCTAGAGACCTAATCCGCATCTCGAATACACCACAAACCCCCATACGCTACCCTCCAGCGAGGCACCTCTTTGCCACGCTGTGACTACAATGCTGTGGTCAGGCGCTGGCATTGACGCTGCGCTCCTCATCGCGGCCTGATGCGCTCTCTCCGTAATTCCGTTCCCTCCGGCGACAAACAATCCAATTTATCCATGAGGGTCGACATGGTCTCAAGAACCTCCAGCGATGGCCCTCCGCCCGGAGGAGGCCGACAATGGAAGTCATTGATCAACAAGATCCCAAGACGAGGGGTATGCTAGTCAAGTTCATGATCAGAGGACTCATACTGACGAACTGGTATAGATCAAAATAATCAGCCAACATGCCCCCGAAACAAGTACCTCCGACCTCGACCTTCATCTCAGATCTCCAGATAGCCACTCCACGAATCCTTTAGAAAGCCAAGAAACTCATATCCGACAACTGCAGACCATTCTTCAGCGGATGCCTCGTAACTTCCCAACTACGCCCAACCACGTTGACTCGGCCTACAAAGACTTCACAAAATACAAGGAGCAATGTGCTACGCTCTGCAGACATATTCTCACCGAAGAACTCGGTCGCGGTTCTCGTAATGGTGGTGACCTCCCCCGCCGTGACTCAACCGTCGAGTCCCCACAAAGTCCTGGCCAGATTTACGATACAAGGAGTTCTTTCAGTGGAAGAAGCCTCGCTGAGGTTGTCTCTGGGAGCGTTGGAAAGAGCATACACCAGACTGATGCCTGGCTGTCCTCTGTGCGCGACTGGAAGAACTACCTCGAGTCCCTTGCCGATGCTTGCCGGACAAGTCTAATTGAGACCTACAAGAACAACGAGCGCGATGCAACGCCGGAACAGGTGGAAGCCCTGTTCACGAATAAGCGGTTTCGAAAGGAGGCTGTGCAGCGAATGCGCAATGCCAGTGTAACCCGGGTCATGTCGGCAGATCCCCAATTCGTGTGTGGTCCTGGTCAGATATGCAAGAGACAACAGCTGACAAATTGTAGTTTCCAAAATATGAAATGCGCTTTTACGATTACGAGAGAATCAAACAGGAGTTGAACGAGATTCGACAGCTTCTGCAAACAGGAGAGTCAGGCATCTCACCTGACCGGACCATCAAAGAGTTTGCAATCTCACAGCGCGGCGATGCTATACTAGAGTTCGCCAACAATGCGCCTGGATGTACCCACAGTGATCCGGCACTACGTTTTCGAGTCTCGTCTTACATGCTCGCTGAGACGTCACCTATCTTTGCGCGCATGTTTGCAGGGCACTCTAGTAGTCTCCATCTCTACGACGATGACGATATCTCGACACTGCTCCCGTTACCCCCAACAAAATATTTCTGTAAGGATGGCTCCGAAGCTAAGCTTTACCGCATGCCGCAGGTTGAGTTGAACCATCTGGGTTCTCTGGAGATTCTATTACACGCAGCACACATGCATAACGAAATGGTTCCACGAGAGATTGAGTTCGAGCAGTTTGTTGCTATTGCCGAGTGTTGCATGCGGTACAAGAGTACTTCTCCTCTAGAACTCATCGTTGAACATCGATGGCTGCCACAATGGATGCACAAGGGTGCTGACGATATGCCTGATGGGCTCTTGGTCATCAGCTACGCGTTTGGACTCCGTCGACTGTTTTCGCGCATGTCCAAGACTACGATTCTGAACCTTGTGGATGAGAAAGAGTTGTTGGCTAAACCCTGGCCACAGAAAATTAAGGATAAAATTTGGGCTGTTCGTTGCGCAAAGATGGCACAAATTCACGAGTGTTGCGTCAGTACTATCCGAGAATACATGCGGGAACCAACACACAACACGTTGGAGGGTTCGGAAGAGCTTTCACTGGATACACGAGCCAGCCTTTCCTCGGACAGTCTACCACCGACGATGCTGACGAGTTCACCAAGATGTCCCAAGGGCAGTCATTGGTGTGACGCCACGAACCTCGGATGGCTGATGCTACTTTACAATGAGATGAACCTTCTGCCTCATATTATGGCGCCAGATGTTTTGTCTCACTTACCCAGAACACAGCCACAGTCGAAGAGTTTGGCGCAGATCGTGGATGCTTTGAGAAGGATTCCCGCACCGCCAACACCCGTCCATCGAGGCGTTTGTGATCCTGGGCCAATGTTCCGCTCTGCTATTAGCGATATATACAACAGTGTGCTGGGCTTGACGCTCTTTGATATCAGTGGGAAGAGCCATGGCTGGGGACTGTCGAAGCACAGAGAACGAGAACCTCAAACACAGCTCAACAAAGGCCTTGACCGGATGGCTGCACCCGATCCGAACTACAGCGTTGCTACCGAGTTCCCCGAGATTGTTCGTCTCCGTATCTTATGTCAGCTGGATGAAATCGACGATCTTCACACAGCAGCCATGATCAACCGCGCATACTACGAGACCTACAAGAAGCATGAGCTGTATCTAATGAGAAACATCCTCCGCATGGATCGCAAACGAACAGCAACTCGCAGCCACATACCAATCGGCCCTACCACCAACGAAGAGAAGGTTCTTAGAGTTGAATCGGAAGTGTTGAAACGCACACCAGCGGATACTGCAGACGGCATCACTCTTCACAGTGTTGTTGAAACGGAAGGAGACTACACAGACTCCGACTCGGACAGTGATAGTCTGTACTCAACTTCAGTGACTCCATCCCTTCCAAGATCAGCTGCTACTACAAGCACAACCACCCGGGGCCGTGACTACCAGGGTTCGTCAGACCCTGTGCGGATCACGGATAGCCCCGCACGGACACCACGGGCCCGGACCGGGACACCCACATCAAGATCCACCGGCATCGGATCTCCGACGACCCCTCGGCAGGCCGTATTTGACCCACCACCGCCTCCAACCACAGCACCACCGATAACCACAATCGACGAGCCTCCTCTCACAGTCGAGGAGGCAAACCGAATTCTTTGGCCAGAAGACGCCATCCGAGCTTCCGAGTCACCGTTACCAATAGCTCCAACAGGCATAGAAGGCATTCGCGAAAAGTTCCGCGCCGGCGATCCCGCGTTTGACGCGGGGCTTGAAGAGAAGACTCTTGTGCCAACTGGGGAAAAGCAGTTGAGAAGTGAACATGACAGACAGGTTGGACTGCTGAAAGGTGGTGATTCTTCAGGTAAATGATGCAAAGATCTACATGACACTTATACGTTTGCGTATGCAATTTTTGAACATCTACATATTATAAGCGAGCGATATTTGGATGGACACGATATATATTGTGGTTTGGCGCCCAAGTGGCTGGCTTAGCATGGCATGGCACGCTGATACCCTTTGGCGCGAGGAGTTGAACTATTGTATCTTTGACATTATTACATATATTGATCGGCCATGGCTTATTTCGCGTGGAATGTTACTGCTTCACAATGCTTATGCGCGTAATACCTTGGGCTTTGGCTTGTGCTATGACATAAACTTGTCTCGTCGTGATACTGTGCTTTAGCGCCGTGATCGACAATCCTGACCCTCGGGAACTTCCATTTGACCTGAATTGATACATGTATTTAGGTAAATCTAGCCCAAGTTCCAAGGACTCTTGGCTGAGCTTATTTAAATCCTCTTTTTAAGTCTCGAGTTCCTCGCCTTCAAGTTCTCTTGCGGCCGACCTTATTCACTCTCCACGCCCTGAATTTTCCGATTTTGTACTCATCACATCAATCAACATGTACCATTATGACCGTATTAAACGCTTCCAGTCATGTCATCGGAGACGAACACATGAGAATGATCTCTGTTCCTCTTGGGTATACTCACCCGAGTCAAATGTTCAGTAAGTTTGATCCCGTGAAGAATATGGTAACTAGCTGCTAATTGTTCAATTTAGCATCACCAGGGACCGGGAATGGTTTGAGGATGATTACATGGCTTTTAGTAGCATCATTCACCATACACCTGATAAGCCGTGGAGTGACGCAGTCAGTTTTGCAAACAATGGGTTGGAATTAAACCCGGAGGACTACACTTGGGCTCACGGTGTCGGTACCGTCATACTCAAGACTAAGCGCTCTCCCCGGGGACGTGGGAGACCGAACACGAGCGAGCTTGTACTAAAGAACGTCATCTTTGCGCCAAACTACATCTGCAATGTCATTGGAGGAAATATCGCAGAGGATGGTTACGTGGTCGAAGTTGGCCCCAGTAGGAACAGGTGCGAAGGGGAGATACGTAACAGTACGGGATCACGAGTCGCATACTTCCGGGAAAACAGAAACTCAATGCAGCAGATCGAAGTCAGACTATGGAGGCCTCCATTGGATCGAGAGATAATGGAGAGATCGGCATTCCCTCAGCGCATCAGATACGACTTACCATTCTTCAAACATAACATACAGGCCAAGTGGCCAGTCGATGAAAGACACCGCTTTGAGAGGTACAGATCAACTCGGTGTCCGTCTGTCAACATTGGGGAACAGCCCTGGTCGGAGGAAGAGTTGCAGTGGCTCAGGGGCGAGGGCATAGATTTCGACGGAGAGGTCGAGAGGGCTAGATTTCGTCATGACATGGAACACCCTGCGGACGCTGGGAGTCTCAAGACTCGTAAAGTTGTCACAATTTTGAGAGGAAAACACCGCGCGCGGTGGTCGAGGAACCCACTCCAGTATCACTTTGACCTTCATACGAGATTCCGTGAAGCGTTAAAGTGCGGCTGGGTGTTTTCCTTCGCCCAGAACAGCTTTGTGAATCAAGTGTGGGGTGATGCCAAGGAGTTCATGTATATGTATGGATACAGGTATGAAGTCGATGATGACTGCAGGATGGCGGCTATGCAGGTGAAGGATATTATGAGTGAACAGGGGTTGGAGGTTTCTAGCGATGAGGAGGGGGAAGACGAGGATGAGGACGATAGTGCGTGGGAGGATACGAACGAGGAGATTTGTGAGTGTGAGCATAATAAGTGCGAGTGCCCTGATGGAATTGACTAGGCCCCGAGCCGTGAAAGGATATACGGTATCTGAGATGAGTAGGGTATGGTATAGGACTATTGGTGGAGCTTGGAGACTCTTGGCGAGATAGGCTTGTGGAGAGATCGATGTTAGCTTCGGGGTTTAATGAAAGATCCGAATGTGTTCCCACATACCAGCTTAGTTACTCGAGGTGATGTGTGATTTATAATATCATTGGCCAGAAGGACGATGATGGCGTCGAAGTTTGCGGCTTACAGCCTTATGCCAGTTGATGGCGAGTCAGTAGGAAAGTAGGCTGACCTCAAGACCTCGCGGTTAGTTCAGCCAGAGTTGAGTATGCAGGCCAGAAAGAAGGTGCATTTTAACAATGGAAATGTATTTCGAAAGACGTGGGAAGCCAAAATCCCTGAGTTTTGCTGCTCCAAAAGACACTGCCAGATCACGATTGTACTTAACCCCAGAAAGATACTGATCGTCAAGACTGCAATAGAAGAAGCCCTCAGTGACTGACCGAGCCCTCCATATTATGCGTAGAAAGATAACCAAATATTGGAATGCTATATTCATGTATTGCCTCTTTTCTTTTTACGGCATCGTGTAAGTGAGCCTATTCGATGAGCACTGCCAAGGATCATCTGGTGGCTTTCACGATTCGTTGAAGAAAAGCTGAGCCCTCAACCATGACTCTCAGCAACATCTTCCTCTCCTTCTGATCTAAGGTTAGCTTCAAATGCGTCAAGATCTTGTGCGCGTCCCATTTCCGTTGAGTGAGTTACCCGGAGCGCGCGCGTGTTCTCGCTATGTTATCCCGTAGCTCCCAAACCAGCAGCCTGGTACCAAGCTCAGTGCTGGCCTTACCAACGCTCGGACTCTCACTCCGTCGGATTAGGAATAGGAGCTGTCAAGTTGATGAAAGCATGCTAGTTAGCTGATGGCTAGTCCCGGGGCTAAAGGGGAACCCGTCATCTGCGTATGGGATCTAGTAGCCGTCTAATGCCTTCGTTCGATTGTGCTGTCCACTCAGAGGCAGTCGTTAGCGAAGCTACCAAGTCAGTAGTTGATTCTAGTCGAGTTTATTTTTGATTACAGCTTGAGCTCTACTATTGAATGTGGAGCTGTGGTTCTGGATAGCAAGGCAAGTGATGGTTGCATGTCCATGTGACTCAACAGCACATCACGGATCTTGAGTACCCAATAGCTGAATGGGAATTGCAGACTTGAAGATATAAATCTGACACGAAAAAAGGATTTTCAGACAGAAACATGCGCAGCCGGTAGCCGGCATTCAAGCTTTCCACCTGTTCCCTCAACATCAGAAACGTCCACGGGACGAAGCCATCGTTGACCATACCAGATATTCGGTATCACCGTTGGGCCCTGCATGCTAATATGGTAATAAACCATTATTGGTATACATTGGACGATCATCGTTAGATAAAACAGTATAGAAGAGCCGAAATATTTCGTAGGTCGCTTACCGGCGGTTTGGACCCTTCACGACAGAGAAGTCCACCTCATTCCAACTGTCAAAGCCGAATACTCAAGAATGCTACTAGTTCCCGTCATGTAAGTGAGTAATCAAGTCCGGCGGCCGACCTGGCGTCTAGAAGGTCTAGACAGTGAACTATACAAAACACGTTTGAGTATTCGGGTAGAACCAGGAAACTTGAGACCGAGAACATGGATAAAGCTAAAACAATTAAAAGATATGGGGTCCCAAGCATATAGTTAAGCTTTCCATGCCCGAGACCCTTGCCGATCTTAGTTTAAGTCATTCTGCGATAGGAATGATATGCAATGGTCCAGGCCGTGAAGATGGAGACACCAACATTCCTCCGGGTTCCTGGAACCACCACGTTCTTGGCAAGGTTTAGCCTCCTGCAAGGTCCCGACGGCTCTATATGTTCCTGCATTCAGTATAGTTTCACTAATACACTTTACCCTCGTACGTGAAGCTTCTTTTATAAAATGTTTTGACAATGTCGTGTAAGTTTTCTTGTTCTGCTCTTTGTTTCCCCTCCTTGACAAGATTCCACCTAGACAAAGCATTGTCACCAACTTATTCACTCCTTTTCTTAACCATCACACAAAATGAAGGTTGTTTATGCCTTGACGCTATGCCTGGGCGTCGCTGATGCTGTGGTACTACCCGTCTTTTCAGCTCCCAAGGGTGGCTATGCACTTCCTCGGCCTGACTCAGATGACACAACGGATACTTCAAAGACTGCGGCAGGATCAAAGACGAATTTGAATTATGTACTCCCTGTATTTGGAAATGCAAAGCCAAAGAGTGGATTTCCTGCTTCTGCTTTGTCACGAAGAGTTGAACGAATTGAGCAGACTTATGGCTCTGATGATGAGTTTACAGATGACTCTGATTATACGCCCACGGAGCCATCTGATGCGACTCCATCAAGTCCATCTGACGACACGCCCTCAGGTTCGTCAGATGATATTCAACAGGTGGTGTATGCCGAGCCATTCATGCAACCCACTTATGTCCGCTTCGGCCCAGCTCCTGTCGACAAGCCAGAAGTTGCTCCCAAGGCCAAGTCAAAATCGAAAGATACCGCGACTGTAGCCAAGCATGGAGGAGACGATGACTCCAGTTCTGGCGGACACAAGCAAAAGGGCAAAGGAAAAGATGGCAAAGGACGACACAGCGGCGATGACGATGCTACAAAGTCTCGCAAGGAGCCTGAGGATTCGCCGAAGACATCTTCCAGCAGTGCAACAGATTCAGTGTCTGTTACTGCTACAAGCACAGCAGTCCCTACAAACTCGCCTACGGGTGATGACAAGGGCAAAGGCAGGGGAAAAGGAAAGGGGAAGGGCAAAGATGACGGTGGCAGACATAACGGAGATGATGATGCTACCAAATCTCGCACCAGAGTGGATGACTCCAAGACTCGATCATCAGCATCACCAACTGCGACTGCAGCTCCCAAGAAGGGAAGCTCTGGAAAGCACACTGGTGATGACGATGCTGGCAAGTCACGAGCCAAAGCCGAAGACTCAAAACCCAACTCCAAGAAAGGCTCAAAGGACAAGTCGAAGTCCAAGCCCTCCAAGAAATCCGTGATCACCCATCAATCCGGCCAAACCTTTGATGCAGACAGCACCAAAGGCGGCGGCAAAAACGGCCCCGGCTACAGTCCCTCCTTCGACGTCCCCAAGCTCAACAAGGGCTATATCCAAGCCATCCCCCCCAAAGCCAGCACCGTCAACAACAACAAGTTCAGCTCCCGCGTGAAGCCCCGTCCCCAACTCGATACAAAAAAGGTCCGTCCCCTTCCCCCCTCCTCCTCCTCCTCCTCCTCCCTCCTCAAGAGAGGCGAAAGTGAAAACATACTAAGTCTCCGTGCAGCCGCGCCCTTCAACAGCGCCGCGATCGACCGCAAAAAGTGGTCAGTGACGTGTGATAGCGTGCACGAGGGGGATGATTGCAAGAATGCTATCGATGGGAACGGCGATACCATGTGGCATACCCAGTGGGAGGGCAGTGAGCCTGCTCCGCCGCATAGTATCACTGTTGACATGAAGAAGAGCTACTACGTCAATGGTATTTCTATGTTGCCGAGACAGGATGGCTCGCAGAATGGGTACATTGCGCAGCATCAGGTTTTCTTGAGCAAGGATGGAAAGACTTGGGGTTCGCCTGTGGCGTATGGGAATTGGTATAGTGACTGGACTGTCAAGTATGCCAATTTCGATACGCAGCCTGCGCGATTTGTCAAGCTCGTTGCTCTCACTGAAGCAAATGGCAATCCCTGGACAAGCATTGCAGAACTCAATGTCTTCCAAGCAAACGACTACGTTCCCCCTCAAGTATCCCAGGGCGCTTGGGGTCCTACCATCAACTTCCCCATCATCCCCGTCGCCGGAACCGTTGATCCCAACACGGGCAAAGTCCTCGTCTGGTCATCCTGGGCTAGAGATACTATGTCTGGCGGTCCCGGTGGCTTAACCCTCACTTCAACATGGGACCCAGCAACAGGCCAAGTCGCAGAGCCTCAAGTCACAGAAACAAACCACGACATGTTCTGCCCGGGCATTTCCCTTGACGGAAATGGCCAACTTGTGGTCACGGGCGGCAACAACGCCGAGCGCACAAGCCTCTTCGATCCCGTTCAGCAAGCGTGGATATCCGGGCCCAACATGCAAGTCGCACGCGGGTATCAATCCTCCGCCACGACCTCCACGGGCAAAGTCTTCACCATCGGAGGATCTTGGAGCGGCGGCTCGAATTTCAAGAACGGCGAGGTGTACGACCCGAAGAAGAAGACCTGGACGCTGCTCAACAAGGCTGATGTTCAGAAGATGCTCACGGACGATGCGCAGGGCTTGTTCCGCTCTGATAATCACGCTTGGCTGTTTGGTTGGAAGAGCGGCACTGTGTTCCAGGCTGGGCCGAGTAAGAACATGAACTGGTACTACACTGAGAAAAAGAATGGCGATGTCAAGACTGCGGGGCAGAGAGCCTCTGATCGTGGTGTTGCGCCTGATGCTATGTGTGGCAACGCCATCATGTTTGACGCCGTCAAGGGCAAGATCCTGACTCATGGTGGAACTCCGAATTATCAAGACTCGGATGCTACTACTGATGCCCACATCATCACTGTCGGAAACCCTGGCACAAACGCTTCTGTTGCATACGCCAGCGAGGGGCTCTTCTTCCCTCGTGTCTTCCACAGTTCTGTTGTTCTACCCAACGGCAACGTCTTTATCACAGGCGGTCAGGAATACGCCATCCCGTTTGAAGACTCAACGCCCCAACTGCAACCCGAGATGTACTATCCCGATAAGGATGGCTTTGAGCTCATGAAGCCCAACAATATCGTGAGGGTATATCACAGCATCGCCCTCCTCCTCCCCGACGGACGAGTCTTCAACGGCGGCGGTGGTCTCTGCGGCGGATGTGACACCAACCACTTTGACGCTCAGCTCTACACTCCCCCCTATCTCTACGACTCAAAGGGCAAGCTGGCTACACGCCCTAAGATCACTTCCGTGTCTGTGTCTACCGTTAAGGTTGGAGGGACAGTTACTGTTCAAACGGGCGGAGCTATCGTGCAGGCTTCGCTGGTGCGGTATGGAACGGCTACGCACACTGTTAACACTGATCAACGGCGTATTCCGTTGACGTTGGCTAACGCGGGGAAGAATTCGTATTCGTTCCAGGTGCCTAGTGATCCTGGTGTTGCGCTGCCGGGATATTGGATGTTGTTTGTCATGGATAAGAATGGAGTGCCGAGTGTGGCTTCTACGATCAAGATCACTGGTTCCTAGATGTTGTTTTATTATTATAGATTTCGTTTGATCAATTTTAACATTAAGTTCTATCATGCTTTCTCTTCCGTCTTTGTCAAACATGATTCTCGTGCTGAAGTTGCGCAGTGCCATTACCCGCGATCCACCAGATATATGCAAGTCTCACTTACTCTCCAGCGAATAACGATGGATTATTGGCTGGGTCGTTGCGTGTGGTACAAGAGTCAAACGGCGCAGTTGTTTCAGCCATGCATATACGCTGTTTGTTGGCAGCCTTGTTTTCGGGTTCAAGCATGTTATCGGACTCTCTCGCCCTGAAAAGCTTGCACTGTACCTTTTGAATGATCTTTTCAAAGGTCAAGTCTTATAGATACAAATCATTTAAGGACATCAATGAAGCCGCCTTTCTCTCGTCTCAAATCACCCAACGTTTCATCCTCTCCCCTCTCTTCCTTCTCCGACATCGAATTATCACATTCAAAGAACTGCTTCTGTTTTCTAACAGTATGAAGGTCATTGGAAGCGACCGGTTCTTTTTCGGTCGTTTCAAGATTGGGCTACAAACGTCGTTTGCTAGAGAAGTCATCCCTATTGTCAAAACAATTCCCCACCCCTCACTGGAAGTCGGTGACGATGAAGAAGACCAAGCAGCCGAGGCAGATGACATCAAGAACGAAGATGTTGTCCCAGGCGAACTACTACCTGACTCTGGAGAAGCCCGATCTGTGGTAGAGCTAGAGGTAGAGTCAGATCCTTGTCCTGTATCAGAAGACGAATTAGGAAGTGTACGTGGTTGGAATCACCTTTTCTTCGGCAAAGAATCTCCCAAGGAGGAAGAAAAGAAGGGCTTCCGATTAGAGATCAAGGTCGACCAGTACATACTCGAGTTATTTTGCGGCCCTGTATTTTTGAGCCTGTCCGACGGATCCGTCCTTGAAGCAACAGACTATGGTTGGGATGCTGTAGCGCTGGGCATCACCGTCAGCGCTATTGAAGGTAATTACCACCGTGTGCCCGTGAAGATAGATCTTGAGCTCTTTGTCAAGATCGCGATTATAGCAGACTACATGGAGTGTGGCCTGGCGCTCTCCATGGCATCCAGGGTTTGGTTATCCAACCTTGATGACCACAAGGCCGTTAAAGGGTTGGATAGCACATCCCTGATGTTGTTTTATGTCTCTTGGGTATTTTCTCCAGACGAACTATCCTGCACAATGAAAGAGCTGGTCATAATGGGCTATCAAGGCCCAGAGACCGTTGAGTTGAATGGCCTCCCTCTACAAGGGTTCATCGGTAAGTTACCTGCTCCTATTTGTCTATCAGCGTTCCTCTAACAACAAGACTAGAGAAATTTGATAAACTACGACAGAGCATGATCAACAAACTCTTGAGCAAGATGAACCAGCTGGCAAGCTTGCTTCTCGTCGAAGAAGGGTGTCCCCATGCGAAAGATGTCCAGTGCAGCATGATGACACTCAGGTACCTGAGAAGGCTGAGGCGCCAATTCAAACAATTGGATCCCCCCCTGATCTTTCCCTACCCGGGGTACAGTATCCAGGACGTCTGCAACATTATCGAGACTTTTCCTGAGCAGGAAATGCACCACGAGGATCTTGGGCACGACCACGGGCAGGCGGAACACCCATGCACCGTCAGGGGAAGAATGTTCAAGGACATTCAATCGGTCAAGGAGGACATAGAGGCTGTTATTTGGGATTGGCTTGAACTTTGGGAATTTCCGGGAAGGATTCTGGACGTCACCGGTTCGGAATGTGATAGTTTATGCGATTTGACAGATTGAACTAGGTTATCGTTTGATATTGCCCACTACCATTGACAGAGCTGAGTAAATGATGGAAGTGAAAACATCGGTCCTATACCAGCAACCAAAGAAGGACACAGAGCTCAAGCGTTCTGTAAAGACCACCGCGCCAAGGGTCAGGCCCACGCACACTGTCATACACTATATAAACTAAATTAGAATTGCCATCAAAAAGTGACTGTTTGAGAATATAGGTGAGATTGGTAACTTCTGCTGAGTAGCTATAAGCTCCAAGCTACGGCTCTTAATGCTTTCAAGGAAAAGACCCAAAGTCGGGAACGGTAGACGGGAACTCGGGGGGCGAGAACGGACATCATAGAAGGTAGAAGCTATTCGTGGTTTCGACACCTATAATGACGGCTCGTAGTATCGGGTTGCGATACTTGTTGGGGCAAGTCAGTATCACATATGTCATCGATAAGAATTTTGACGAAATCTTACGCTTAGCCCGTCTCTGGTCTGAGAACATGTCTATTCTCACGGGCCTAGAAGCACCCCCTCTGCTGAGCTCAATGGCAAGCGCTATCTGGATCGCCCGCGTAGCCTCGCGTTCCCTGGCGAGTTCCTCCTCCCTGGTCTTCTCCTTTTGGTCAGGCATGGGCTTCAGCTCAGTGCTAGGACGCGGGGACTTCTGAGGCAGGTCGTTGGATGATGGCGCACTCATTTTGGGGGGCGACAGTGACTTGGCAGCCGGGTTTCTTTGGGGTGGTTATAAGCCCTCGGCCACAAGTCCAATTAGTTGGTGGACAACGGTGAGTTTACAGACTCAAGGTGAAGCAAGAGATGTGATGAAGGTGCCGGTGATGGAGGAAAGAAAGAGAAGGCAGATCGAAATTGGGGGTGAAGCCCTTATTAAATACCTTGAGGTACACAAGGTTTGTTCTTTCATGTCTAATAACTTTCGCCAAGGTAGTACCTATAAGAATTCTGAGGCTGCAAGGACGTTTTATATTTTCGAATTCGGTCCGAGGCCAACAGATACTCTATTTCTTTAGAGAAATAGAAAAGCCTAATACTTACAACCTCTCAGCGTTGGTCATGGCGTCCACGACTTTTGTGAAGCTAACATTCCAATTCGGTACCTCTTCATCAGCGTAAGAGCTCGGCTGCCAGTAGGTCTAGCTAGATACAATATGCTCAGGCCGTGGAATATGTGAAGTCGTAACTGAAGATAGCATCATATTTGGTCCAAGCATCATGCAAAGAAAGCAAGCCCATTGGCCGGATTCAAAGAGGGGCTACGTCTCGGGAATAAGTCAATAAATGAATATGCATCTTTCCCCTCATTCTCAACACTCTCCCAACCCTAATTTCTCTAGTTACTGTGCGCGATGAGGTCCGTCACTTACGAGATCGACCCTCAAGGAGCGATTGAGGTCATTCTCCAAGACCCAGATACCCAAAGCACCAGCCTCACACTAACAACGCCTGCACAAATTCACCCAACTCCGCAACAACGAAATGCGCCGTCAGTGAAAGTAAAAGTGAAAGTGAAGGATGAAGAGGAGCAGGAGCAAGATGACTTCTCGGTCAAGATGCGGGATCTAAACACCTTGTTCTATGGGACCAGCACCCCTCGGCGGGATGACAAGGAAGTCCAGATTCGAATGCGCGTTTCTAGCCACCATCTATCTCTCGCATCGCCAATCTTATCCTCTTTGCTGCAGCAGTCTGCGGAAGCCAACGAGATATACCTCACGGGCTGGGATGCAAAGGCTTTGGCCACCGTGTTGAACGTCATCCACGGCCGAAACGCCCAAGTCCCCCGGAATGTCAACTTCAAGTTCCTTACGCAAGTTGCCACCGTCGTTCACCATCTCAAATGCGCTGAGGCAGTACAGCTTTTATCAGCGTTCTGGCTCTCAACTCTCGAACCAGAAGCAGTGACTTATTTCAACAGAGATTGCTTATTGTGGTTGTTCAACTCGTGGGTGTTTTCATGGCGAAAGGAGTTTTCGCATTGCGCGCAATTGGTTCTCTCAAATTATCGAGGTCCTAGTATGGTTATCTTGCATGATCTTCCCTTGACTGAAGTGCTTGGTTTGTTTCCACCAAACCTACAGCTATGCTCACCTGACTGACAATTGCTAGATAAAATCGACGGCATGAGAATAGTTCTGATTAAGAAGGTTTTCACGGCCCTCGAAAACCTGGAGCAGACCCTCTCCACCGAACGTGGCTGTCCAGAGGCTAGGTATGAGCAATGCACAGCCATGGCACTTGGTGCTTTGATACGGGGGAAGCGAATGTTTCAAAATATGGAGGAACCGTATCACGGGCTCAGTATACGGCAAGTAATGGCAGTCCTGGATGATTTTCCTAGGATGAAAGCTGCGTGTCCTGATGCGAACCATGGTCAGAACTGCACTGTGTATGCGAGGATGAGGCCGGTCATCGAGAGAGTGGAGGGGGAGATTGAAGATGTCGAGTTGAACTACTTTCAGTCCTGATAGTGGGATCATGTTGCTTGGGTCTGGTAGTTGTATACGTTGGAGATCCACGGGGTGCAAAAAGATATCTGATATTAGACTGAGGTGTTAAAAATACTCAGTCTAAGATCTTCTAAATCTATCCTAAATCTACCCTAAATTATAATAAGTTTACCTAAGGCTTTTCATCACTTAGGATCAAAGTCCTAAGTGTTATTGTATCCACTTGAGATTTGTAGTGAGGTAGTGTCTCGTTGTTCTTGATCCGTTTGTTCCTCTCCAGATGAAGTACCCCTTATCTTGAGCACAACAGTTTGCCATTTGACGCCATCATTCAAAGTCCGTGTTTTACTAGCGAGGCCGCTTCGGGGAGTAGGCTTATGCTTGTGCTTCAGTGGTGCATCTGTTTTGACAGTGTCTGCCAGATGAAGATCTCTGCCCTGACACCTGACACCCTCTCTCACACAGGCCCAGCCTTTGCTTTCTTCTCTTTAATCCTTCACATCTAAACCTTTTCTTCCTCTTGGGATTGATTTTTCTTCCTTATCCACAAACTCGACAACGCGACAGCATCATGTCAGTCGTCACTCACGACATAGCCCCCGATGGGGACGTCTACATCGTCCTCCGGAACCCCAACGCCGTATCCGTTATTCCCATTGTCAAACTTCGCAAGTATGGCACTGATCCACCTGAATACATCCCAGATAACAATGTTGTGGCCTCGCCTTCGTGGAAAGTGCCAGCACTTAAAGGTGAGGAGGAAGCTTGTGTCCTCAAACACAATGTAAAGGCTAATGCCACGACACAGACAAACAGGCTTCTGAGTATCGCTTTCGAGTTTCTTCGCATCATTTGACAGCTGCCTCTCCGGTATTTCGGAAAATGCTCAAGGGTCCCTGGAAAGAGTCAGTACCCCCTGAGGCAACGACTTCTTGCGAGGTTTCGGACCAGACTCCTGCGGTACCCATCATTCGTGAGATCTCAGCAACTGACTGGAACGTACACGCCTTTGTTGCTGTACTTAACATTATCCATGGCCGCAATTATGAAATCCCGCGAAATATCGGCATTAGGATCATTACCGACATTGCCGTCATTGTCAACTACTACGAATGTGCCGAGTCTGTGACCCTCGCAGCAGAGTTGTGGAGATCAATGGTAAATGTCTCCCAAAAATACGGCAGGCGTTCCATCATGTTGCTGTTTGTTTCTTGGGTTTTCTTCTGGGACGAAAAGTTCTCTTCAATGGCTCGATTGGTGCTGGAGCACGGTGAAGGCTCAGAGAATGTAGATACCCAGGACCTTCCCATCGCTGTGGTCTTTGGTAAGTGATGCTATACGGATAGGTTGCCTACACATTACTGACTTTCACTCTAGAAAAGCTCGATAAGAAGAGGGAACCTCTTTTGCCGCTTATCTTCCAGAGACTCAGACAGCTACGGGCAGATATACTGAATAAGCGTATTGGGTGTAGCCTTGAATGCAGGAGAATGCTACTTGGGGCTCTTGATGGTGATAAGCACGACATGCAAAAGGAACTCGGAAGCTGGGACCACGGACACAAGGGAGTCTCTGTTGCTCGTGTGATGGACACCCTAAACAGCTGTCCTTCGCCTGAATGGAAAGACCCCAAGGAAAAGTGTCCAGTTCACTCTCCAAATTGCAGTATCAAAGCTCTCATGAAACCGACATTCGATAAGATCAGAGAAGATTTCAAGACGATCAAACTCGCCGACTTCCAAGCTAAGAAGGTCTGAGAAATGCATGGATCGCTGGTAACTACAGACGTATGGGTATCTATGGTAGACTGGAGGCAAGGTACACGAAAGGAGGAATGGCATTCAGGGGTATGGGTTAAACAAATACCCAAGTATGAGTCCTGTATGTATAAAGTATAGAATTCATTTTGAGATACACCAATCTTCTCATCCTGTGCTCACTGGTGACTTTGGCTGAGTGCAAAATAACGAGGTGCTTTCTGAGTGCCTAGACCTTGTTTTATTTAGTGGTCAAGTATTTGAGTTGACAGTGTTATCAAGTGCTAGTTTTCACTCTTGGCTCTCTGTTCCTTTTTGCTCCTACATCGTTCTCTGCATCCACACCTCTTTTCCCTTTTTCTTCTCTTCACATCACAACTTCTCACTTACCTCAGATTTCTCTCCCCTCGCCTGGCTGCGAACTCAGCCATAATCATGACCATCATCACACGACATCGTCCCTGGTGGCGATCTCTGTATCATTCTTAAAGAACCAAACACACAGAAAGTTCTGCCAGATGTTTCTCTTCGCCAACAGCAGTACACTTGGCGAGACTACTTGCCTGACCATGATCGCCTCGATGTCCCGCCTATGACTTCTCCTCTTCCCTATTTCAAAATCCACGGTAAGGACTTCATCACCTCAAGAAACATTGAAACTGATTTGAGAACACAGATGAAGAACCCGTCGAAATCCGCCTTCGCGTTTCTTCCGCTCATATGACTCTCGCTTCACCCGTGATCAAGAAAATGCTTCAAGGTCCATGGACCGAAAGCGCTGAACCTGGTTCTCTTGACTCTGTCAACGCTTCCTCTGCCCCGAGCACGTCAATTCGCGAAATTTCTACAATCGGATGGAACGCAGATGCTCTGGTCGCTGTTCTCAACGTCATCCATGGCCGCCACAGCGATGTGCCACAGGAAGTTCATCTCAGATTCTTTGCTGACTTTGCAGTCATTGTCGACTACTACCAATGCGACAGCGCCGTTCTGTGTCTTCCACTTCTTTGGTACAAATCTCTCTACGAGGCCCCCAAGCGACTCGGGAGGAAGCCCATCCTGTGGCTGTACATCAGCTGGGTCTTCTCCTGGCATGAAACCTTTGCCGATATGGCAATGTTGATCTGGAAGAATGGCGAGGGTCCGGACCTTGTCAAGACCTACGATCTCCCTATCGCTGAGATCCTCGGTAAGTAATTAATTCTAGATATAGCATAGCTTATGCGAGGACACTTCTAACATTGTGGATAGAGAATCTGGACAACAAAAGACAAGAGGCTATCAAGACAGTCTTAGAGGAGCTTGACAACATGATTGTTGAACTTCAAGAGGACCATGCCGACGACACAGTCTGGGATGGTTGGGGCCCTCTTCCAACTGACCACGCACGCCGTTGCATGGCTCTGGGCTCAGCGCTACGAGAGAAACGCCGACTGGACAAACTAAACCCCCCTCTCGCAGCTCCATACACGGGATACTCTTTTTCTAAGATCAACAGCATGGTCCATGGGTTTCGTTCACTAGGGAGGCACATGGAGCAACACGACACTTATGTATCCGATGGCGAAAATGAATGGGTTGCAGCGCCAGCAGAACAGGAAGACAGTCCCAAACAGCGACTGAAGAACAAAATCGACATCATCCTGAGTGATATCGAATGGCTCAACTTGGCAAACTTCAGAGATTAAGGCGGGAAATACAAATTTCATGGTTCACTACGGGTACATGCAGTTCTTTTTGGTAGATGGCCATCTAAATGAATGGTGAAATGGTTATGCGGTAGCAGTTACATCAATGATCAGATCATACTCAGTCTGTAAAATACTATCTAGCTTAGAGTCTAGCTAGACTCATACCGTCAATTTGCTGTTGTACTTGGTCTTTTGGTCTGGCCCCGTGATATGGATGCTTGCTTTTGCCAAACTGAGAGGCCTTGATTCCGTTGTCAGTGACAGGCAGTGGGCAGCTCACGAGGTATCAGAACCCGAACCACCACCCGGTGGGTTCTCTCCTTTTCCACAACAAGCCTCTCCTCTCACGCGCGGCTCATTTCCCCCCCCTTTACTTCTTTCCTTCACCACCCAACTTCAAAATTTTCAACCGCCTATTCATCATGAAGACTATCTTTTATGTCATAGACCCAGATGGCGATGTTGAGCTCGTTTTGAGAGAACCGAATTCTCACCAGATCATCCCTGAAATCCACTCCGATGATTCCTCAACTCACTCTGATCTGCCGGACTGCTGCTTTGACAACCCGCCTGTATCTGGCCGTTACAACGTCTTCAATGAGCTCTACAGCAAATCGACGACCGCTGTTGGTACTCAGAAGGATAAAGAGGATCATGAGCCGCGGGAAGTCCGCATGCGCATCTCTTCGAAACACCTGTCCTTCGTTTCCAGCACATTCCGCGATGATCTACTCGCTTCATCCAACAAAGATGCTCCTGTTCAATGTTCTGCTTGTTCTTCTCCTCCTTCTCGACCTTTTACCAGGGTTTACACGATCGGCTGGGATGCCTTGGCCCTCGCCATTGTGCTTGATGCCATTCATGGACGTCACGCAGAGATCCCTCGAGTCATCAACCTCGGACTTCTTGCCCGCATCACAACCGTAGTTGACCACTACAAATGCCAGGAGGTAATTCACGTCTTCTTCGATCATTGGCAGAGCGATATCTTTCGTCAAGCTGGTTTCCCTACACTTCTCTCTAAGACAGCTCTTCTGTGGTTGTACATCTGCATGGTCTTCCCAGGACTGGAGGGCATCTTCGCATCCATAGCTTGCACGGTGGTGTCGCACTTCAAAGGCTCTGCTCAAATCACTGCTCGAATGCTTCCAATCACAACCACTCTCGGTGAGTCGATAACGTATACATGATCTTGTACCGCAGCTAATAAATGAGCAGGAAAGCTCAACGAAAAAAGACTCGAGCTCATCAAACAGATCAAGGATGGTCTTCAAGACGTGCACAATTCACTCCTCCAAGAATCAGGATGTGTCCGAGGCGATCGTCTTTGCTCTTCGCTCACGCTTGGTGTGTTAGTTCACATGATACACCAACACGAACATGCCGAGCCTCCCTTCATCGCCCCCTTCGACGGGTACAGTGTTTCCACGGCGCTGAAGCTAGTTCAAGAGTGCTCTGAGCCGATGCCGCGACATGGCAATCCCAGACACATTGAACCCTACGATGGTAGAATCGACCCTTGCAGCATCAGAGGGAGAATGACGCCAGTGATTCAGAAAGTTGAAGCGGAGCTCTACCGTATGCGCCCGGCTGACTTCAAAGACTAGAGTTGTTTATGATAGGAGTCTGATGTTTCGCTGGTTGTCTGGCAATGTTTTGAGTTGCTTGCTTGGAGAGTTATTAGAGGATGTAAATGGAAATCATGCATAACACATCTTGTGGAACAAGAAACCAGAATGGGATACCTACTTAAGCAAACTTATGTATAAATCATGTAAAATTCTTTCACCTCTATGCCTAATGCTTCGCATTCCTTGGTGTGTCTTCAGACCTCTTGGTCCTGAATCAAGGCTGTAATTCAGAAAGCTTTTAGGAGTTTTACCGTTGGTTTCTATCAAACATCGCAATTCCATGATATCTTTTTACCTCAGTACATGAACTGTGATAAGGTTATGGGTAGTTAAAAGAGGCTTTAGCCCCCAGCGCACAAAGGTAAAGAACACCAATAAACACATACAGGCAAGATACTCATTGCCCTCACTGTTGCCTAGGATCTTGGTTTTGGCTGAAAAGTTATTCAGGACTAGGTTTTCAGTTAAATAAAGCTTCATTGAGCCACAAAGGTTTTGAACACAAAGCAGTACATGAGCTGTGCTTGGCCGAATGCTTCTTTTGTATCGATAATCGGTTACAACTATGAGTGGGCGACTTGGCTATCATCTGAATGCCATCACTATTGAACTTGAGGTAGATAAAACAGCTGTGTCTTTGTACTATCGAATCAATTTATCGGGTATGCATTCACTTGATCTTCTTTTCTGGTCCACTTGAACTTGTTGTGCCAGCCTGTGACAGGTCTGAGCTGTTAGTGACAGGCTGCGCTGAACTACAGCCATTTCGTCCCATCTCCAACGCACGCCCGAGGCGAGTTCTCCCTTTTTCACAACAAGCCCCCTCTCTTATCTTCACATCGTCTCCTCTCCTTCACATATTCTTTTCTTCACCTTCCTTCGCGCTTATAAGCACAGCGTGTCACCCCGGGCACGATCATGAAGTCCGTTTCATACGTGATAGATCCTGACGGGGACATTGAACTCGTGCTCAACGAGCCGAATACCCAGCGTATCCTCCCAGAAAGAGTCCTGTGTGTAGATGCATATGTCGCCAGCGACTCACCCACCACCGACTACACCGATTTCACCTGCTTAAACAACTCAGCACTCCAAGGACGATACACGGTCTTTGACAACTTCGATTCTCCTTTTCTTGATGACTACGGTGACTTGGACTTCGTAGAAGAGGCTCCAGACATTGTGCGCATGAGAGTGTCTTCAAAGCATCTTACGCTTGCCTCGAAGGTTTTCAGAGCCATGCTTCGAGGCTCATGGGCCGAGGCCTCCTCGTCATCTTCTTCTCAAGATAGGCCTCGCCAACTTGCGACCTCTGACTGGGACGCCAAGGCCCTCGCAATCGTTCTTGATGCGATACACGGGCGTTTTCGTCTGATCCCGAAGGACATCAACCTCGTTCTTCTGGCTCGTATCGCCACCATCGTCGACTACTATCAATGCTACGAAAGCATGGAGCTCATCAGCAACTTGTGGCTCTCTCAGCAGTCTGTTACGCAGCAAAACATCGATTTGTACACCGAAAACTCATTGCTGCTGCTATACGTCGCGTGGGTCTTTGAGAGTGATGTTCTTTTCACTGCCGTGGCCCGCCGGGTTTTGAGGTACGGTCAAGGACCTTCGGAATTCGATTTGAAGGACCTTCCTGTTGGTGGCGTCCTCGGTAAGGATATTCCACGCAGTCACAAGCCCAACATAATATGCTAACGTTGTGTTTTAGACATCCTGAATGACAAAAGAACGGAGCTTATCGGACGGATCTTGGACGGTCTCGATATCCTCCAAGAAACCCTCCGCACAGAGAATGAATGTCCAGGTTTGGGCTTGTCTGACTGCTCATCCACATTGCTTGGAATGTTGATGCGAGAAACCTTCAGATGGGAGGAACAATATGAGCCCCTCGAGCCTCCTTACGACGGATACAACATCGTCACAATGCGAGCCTTGGTCGATGGGTTCCCCCGACCCAAGCCATTGCAGCCGAAATACGATAACTCCGGGAGCAGTAGCTCTGGAGAACTCGACGTGTTTCATCGACGGTGCATGTGCACCATCCAGGGGCGGATGCAGAAATTGATGAAGGGGGTAAACAATGACATCAAGGCTTTCCGCCCTTCACGCATTCAGGGCTGGGGATTGCGTCAGAAGGAGGGTGACTAGAAGTTTGGGGCTTCATTTGTGCCGTGAAATGGTCTGCGGGAGACTGAATCGATTGCGAATACTAAAGATTGAAAGAAGCTGGGCTAAGTGGTGCCTGGACGTAGGGATTGGAGTCAAATTTGCTAGCTTTCCTCTATGTATTTGTCATGTAACTCCTTCACCCACGATTCCCCAGTCCCAGGTTCCTGTTTTCTTTCCTGTGACCTTGGTCTGTCTTTAGACCTCTTCTTCCTAAGTCAAGGCTGAATGTAGGACCAGTCCAAGGTCATCAGCGGCACCATTAGACTTCTCGAACCGATCATAACTACGCACAACCCGGCTTGAAGGTCAGCAACTATAACCTAAGTCCTAGCTAGTTGTCCAAGTATCAAAATGGGAATTCACCAAAAGCAGGTTTGAAGTTGTATCCTGTATCTTATCTGTTTGTCTATCACTGTTTCCCTACATACTCTAAGCGTGGGAATCAGCCATCAACTCCCAGGATTCTTTCTGATATCTCCCTAAGGATTATTTTCACTCTTCCCTGAACGGTATAGAGATCATGGACGCCGTTTTCATCGAAGCCAAAGGGTTCTTCGTCAAAGGTAGAGTGCGGCGGCAATGTGGTCCGAAAGCTGTCGATCTCGTCCAAGATTAGCCAAAGATTGATCAAAGTGTTTCCAAGAGATCGAAAGCACAAGATATCCTTCTTGCTTGGCTTCTAACCCATGACACCGACCAATATCACGGTATCCAGCCATCAACCACCTCGACCATCCATCTTCAAATCAAGAGTCCAAGAATCCATCTCAGCCTTGACTCTTCCAAGAACATGCCTCATTCTTCCCCTGACACTGCACACCGACACATCGTGATAGTGTTCATACCCCGGGGTCGTAGCTGCAATCGACTCAGGGATGTCATTGACCAGTTGAATCATGCTCGCGACAGTGTAACCGTTGAAAGGGGGCTCAAGGGGGCGCTTGCTTGCTCCAACACGGTCCAGCTCTCGCTCCAAAATGCCCAGTGCGATAGAGTGGCATGTCGGGTCATGGTAGTTGTGCCAGTCGCAGAGAAAGTCTGAGTTGGGAAGAGTGTTGCGAAGGTCTTGAAGTTCTGACACAATGGTTCCAATGAGCTCTTGTCGTTTGTTTTCAATCTTGGCTAATATCACGTTACTAGGCTTGATCCGAATGTGAAGGGGGATATGGTTACTAACCTAGAACTCCATTGATTGGAAGGTGATCGGTACTCAGCTGAGGGCTTCCCATGTGCTTAAGGATATTCCGGGCCACTCTGCCCGAGATTTCTTGGTTGAGGAAGACCGAAGAAACAGATAGCCACATGAGAGCCTGATTGGAATACTCGTCCTCAAACTCGGTGCCGATATTCTGGTACCATGTTTCGGAAAAGATCTTGACAACCTCATGGCATGCATAGAAATCGACTATGGTAGCGATACGAGTCATGAGCTTGAGATCGACGATGCGAGGCACCACTCCATGCCGGCCGTGGACGATATCAACCACGATAGCAAATGCCACCGCATCCCAACGCGAGGCCGTGACTAGACGGAGCGGTGTTCCGAAAAAGGAAGAAGTCGACGATTTCTCTTTCCAGGGCCCTTCAAGCATAGCTCGTAACATGGGGGATGCAAGAATCAGATGCCGGGAAGATACTCGCATGCGCACTTCACCCTCGAGAGGCGTTCTGGCCTTGGGAGGGCGTCGAGTTTTGATGGTGCTTACGAGGGCGTTGAATCTGTGGCCAAGGGGACTAGGATCTTTTTTAGCTTCAGCAGGAGAGAGAAGATCATCGAAGACGTGATATCTTGCAGCTAGGTCAGGATAAGCGACGGTTGGCTCATTCATAGGATCCTCATACTCGTCGGCATGCTCATCGGAGGGAACAAAGGGGATGAGTTGCTGAGAGTTTGGCTGTTTGAGGACAAGCTCGACATCACCACCCGGGTCGATGGTGTAGGAAACGTACTTCATCATGAATGAACGAGTAACCCGGTGTTGGACTCGGGATGAAGAGTGAGGAGGGGGAAGATCCAAGGGGAAGAAGAGATATGCAAGGTAGAAAGGCTGGTGGGGGCCTTGACGATATGCATCTGCCTACCCACTACGAGCAAGCAGAAGCAAACCACACTGGCAAACAGTTTATGCAGATACAGACAAAGGATAAGACTTCAAACGTATTAACAATAAAAAAATTCAGTTGGTCAAATGTATCTTGTGACCGGGGATACATATCACAATGTTACAATATCTTATGGAATCAGGGGCAAGGTTTTCTTCAGATGTGATAATTCACTCTCCATTTTGGAACAAGAGGCTAAACGCAGACCAAGGTCATAAATCCTAAAGCAAACCACCGAGCCTGGGAAATGTAAGTGAAGGAGTGGCATCATAAACACATTGAGGGAAACTAGCAAATTATGGCTCTGATCCCTGCACCACTCAACTCAGCTTCTCTCAATCTTCCATACTCGCCAACGACTTGGTCTTCTATAATCCGGTTTATGCCCAAACGCGATAAGATTCCTAGTCTTTCTCATTCTGGCGCAACCCATGTTTTGCAGTCGTCTACTGCGGAACTAGACGGTCTCGTCATTACAAAGACCCCTTTAGACGGCGATGATGCAGCCAAACACTGTGTTGAGGATGTGTATATGCCATGAGCGAAATTTGACGCTACAGGAGCGGATGGCCATAATAGTGAGCAGTTTCAATGGAATGGTTGAGGCATATGTGGTGTCGACAGGGGGAGACGCTGAGCTGTAACCATTATCACAAGTTGGAGTTTATGCTGTCAATAACTTGCTAATCTCGTACGAAATCTATCTCTTGTTACCAACATTGATCTCTCTGCCTCGCCCTCGCAGCATAGGTGTTGGGAACCCAACCCAAGTCCCCGAGGCTCCTTTTCTCCAGACACGCTTTCTCTGATCAACTTCGCAATGCTTGATGCCTAGCTCATTTCTTCGCCCTAACCTCCTTTGCGTCCTCTTCTCGAGAGAGGCGTGAAGGAAATGATAAGACCCTTTTCTTTTTGTGCCTTCCAACTCCATTCCCTAATACTCACTCATGATCGCGACCCGTCTTTTGCCGACATTCCGATTGAAAGGGATAACATCATAAAGGAACAGCTGTGACTGAAGATTCGGCACCCCCTCTCGCGAAACCTGGACCAGTTCGACGTTGTCTTTTCCTAACTGTAACTCAGTAAGACCTTAGACCAGTCGATTCTGGCACCCTAGGTGAATGAGGAGGAAACAAACAATGCTCTCGTCTCAGCTGGATTACTACCTGGTTGGCAGTGCCGGTCAGCTTTATTCTCCTTGGCAGTGACTCAGCCTGGTAAAACAATATACCATACCTAAAAACCACATTTGATCCTTTTCTCCCTTTCATCTTCCTTTCATCAACATCAGAAGGGCACGAAAGCAGACTCTTTACAGCATGAGGTCGATCTTCTACGACATAGACCCAGGCGGCGACATCGAGCTTATACTGAAAAGCCCGAACAAGCAGGACATAGTGCCAGAGGATACCTTTTATCCTTTCCCTTCCCAACAGTCCAATCCTTCTGAGTTTCTCAACCCGCCATGCCTTGGCCGATATGAGGTCTTCGGCGAGCTGTCGCCCGGTGACGAAGGCGAGACTCCAGAAGCCGAAGTTCGTATGCGGGTATCTTCCCGACATCTAATAATTGCTTCTCACACATTCCGAGCTATGCTTGAAGGGCCTTGGATTGAAGCAGCTCTATCACCTCAACCCATTCGGCAGATATCAACCGAGGACTGGGATGCCCTTGCTCTGGCTATCGTTTTGGACTGTATTCATGGGCGTCACTTCGAGATACCAACCAAGATCAGTCCTGGATTATTGACTAGGATCTCAACCATTGTTGACTATTACCAATGCCGTGAGGCCGTACAAGTTCATTATCACACATGGACCGAAGACAGTGTCTGCAGACTGCCAGACGAGGAAGATGATGAAGAAATAAAGGTCATGTGGCTGTTTGTCTCATGGGTATTCCATGATGAGATTCGATTCCGCAAAATGGCGGATATGTTTCTGCGTTACAGCAAAGGAATGTCCCAATTTGAGACCAATGATCTTCCTGTCAGCGGCATTCTCGGTAAGTTAATCAACATCGCGAATATATAATGGCTATTCTGACAATACCTTGGCAGGAAAACTCGACAACATAAGACAAACCCTATTACAGAAACTCTCAGAGGCCCTAGACTCTCTCCAAACGAAGTTGATGGTTGAGGAGGGCTGCGATGAAGAAAACAACTCCAACTGCAATGCCGTCCTGCTAGGTATATTAATTCGTGAAAGGTACCACATCGCGAACGAGTTCGGTCCTCTCGTTGCCCCATTCCATAAATGCACCTTAGACAAGATATTGGGATATATCGAGTGCGTGGATCGACCAACGCCGCAACACCATAAGGACTTCAAGAAGTATGAGGGCAAATTCGCCCCCTGCACTATTCAGGGAATATTGAGGCCAGTCTTGGAGGAGATAGATAAAGCGACAAAGGTTATTTGTCTGGCTGATTTCCAATCTTAAAGATTGCGACCACACAGGGGTAAACGGTGATGGACAAAAAGACTAAACTCACCGAAGTAGTTTCATTTCTTGGGAAGTCCTAAATTTTGTTCCCAGAGTCCGTTAACGGAGATGAGAGTATGCATTATTCATATAAACTATCCATCTTTCAACTGTAGACATAATTTCCTATATCTACTATTCAGCTAACTATACTGGGTATCTGTCCAAGAATGTAATCCCAGATTGAACACTATATCCAAACTTCGACACCTTCTGCCCAAGACACTCTTCAACTCAACGGTAGGTATCTCTCTGTCCAGCCTCGGCCTCTATCTGAGCCTTACGCGCAGCGTTGAGAGCCTTAAGCTTGGCAGTTCCGAAACCCAAAACACCATCCTCCTGGTTATCACCCAACCAAGGCTTCTTGGAATCACTGAGCATGCTACCAGTGACAAAATACACGAGCTGACCAATGATGATAAGAACAAAGGCAATGGGGTACAGGAAGTGAATTTTGTATCCAAAGACCCGGATACCAATGATGACACCCCAGAAGTTGGCAGTCAACAGGGAGATGTTGAGGAAAGCCGCACTTCCCATGCGGAGCATGACTGGTACAAGGATGTAGAAGATGTTCAAGCACAGAGTATAACCGATAATCCAGCCGATAACCTTACCGTTCCAGGTTGCGTTATCGAAAGAGTTTCGGTCAAAGATGGCAGCCTGGACACCGTTGATACACATACCAAACAGGCCCAGGAATGATAGGACGTGGTACAAGTGAGCCCTAGACACGAGCCACTCCTCGAATACGTTGGTAGTACCGTAGAGAGTGGCACCGAGCAGAGCGAACAAATCACCCTTGACCATATCAAGACCGCTGCCGCCATTGGTACCGCTGATGTGGTCACTGGCAATGAGAATACCCATACCACCACAGCAGACCACAATACCGATGATCTGAAAGATCCTGTACCGAACCTTGAGCAGGAAGAACGAAATGACAACAACGCAGACAATAGCCCAAAAGTTAATGAGCTGCGCCGACAAGACGTTCGTGTATCGGTAGGCCAGAACAGTAAAGTAGTTTCCCTCGACGTCCAAAAACGCCATGATGAGGTACTTCCACCCATCCTTCACTCCAACGCGCCACCAGCCCTTGATGCCATCCTTCCACAGGAAAATAGGCGTGTAGATGAGGAACATAAGGATGTAGTTGAAGACGGTCTGGAACGCGGGAATGTTGGTGCCCGCGTTGGCGAGGAAGCTGGTGAAGGTGTTGGTGGCCGTGATGCACAGCGCAAGAACTTGGCCCAGCGCGAGAACGATCCAGAAGTCGAGGGTGGTCAAGTAACTGTACCAATGCACGGACTTGACCTCGAGGGTGTGGATGCCCTGACTGACGGCGGCATCTTCGTTCGTGGCGATGGAGGCCTGGGTAGCGTTGGCGGTTGGACCCTTGGAGTCACCCTCAGAGGAGGGGTTCTCGGAGGTGTTGACGGCGATGGGTTGAGTAGCCGACATGATGAAAGGTTTATTCGAGGGGTATCGTCAAAATATCTATCTTCGGTTAGCGATCCCATCCTAAATTGCTGGTAGCGCATTCAATTGCGCTGGTGTCGCAACATACCTCGTAAACCAATCGCAAAAGTAATGAATCACTGAGTAGGAATAATTCTCTCTTCAGATGAAGTCTTTCTATCGTCTCCGGGTGCAGCAAGCGCAAAGACTCAAAGTCGCTCACTGATGTTCTTAAGAACTGACGCGGCACATGTACCAATGTGCCGGTGTATAGTTGTTGAAGGAAGCCGAGTTAACAGAGGTCAACATATGAAGTCGCAAAAGTGTATCGCGGGGGATGGGTATTTGAGTTGCGCAAGAATGTCTTGCTCTGGAGGCGAGTTTGTCGATCGGCACGGAGACACCGTTAAAGACAGCGATGATCTTTTTGGAACAGCGAAACAGATCAAGAGCTAGAAAGACTCGAGAGGTCCAGGTCCCTTTTATTCTTCGATCATCTGCAATTTTTTCCCTTTCTTTTTTTCACTAAAGCGAGTTCTAGCTCTCGTTATTGGATCAGCTTGGAACCGGGATCCACGATTTATCGGGAGCCAAGAGCACGAGCTAGACTTGGTCGGGTCAAACGTCCTCGATTGAGCTTCCAGTGGCGTCTTGTTCGGTGGGGGAGGACGGCGGCTGCCGGGGGGTCAAAGCTCCCGTTTACAGGGGATGTTACAGTGCTTACAGAAGGGTGCAGCAGATGGAGGAACATGTAAGGAAAAGGCATATCATGATTCTTGCCTACGAGTTCCAGATGTGCAAGTAAAGAAAAGAAATAACTCGTAAATTTGAAAGGAATAGAACTCAATTGTCGATCTTTACTAACTATCAATGCTGTTGTGGCGTTAGAGAGCTGGCCTGAAGGAGGGTCACCAAAGTGCTAGGCTTGTCCTTGTGGTTGGGAGACGGGAACGAGATGAGGTGAGGATGGTGGGTAACCACGTGGGGGTAGGCAAGACAAATTGGCCGAAACTATTTCTTTGACTCGGTCTCGAATCATTTCTTTTGTCTTGGTCATATTCTAAGTAAATATCCCCTTTCCATCGACATTTGACAGTGAAATCAGTGCTTGGATTCACTCAATATCCAGTCCATTAAAGTTATGCGGAACGAGCCGCAGTGTGTGTTGTCCGTGCGTGATGTTAAAGCGGCAGCCAAGCTGAAATTCCCCGACCAGTGAAGCGATTGCTGCAACCAAGTCGAGAACGTTCGTGGTTGATAATAGCGTGAAGGCAGTGGAGGCCGTATCGAATAACCAACATGCTGTACTGTAGATGTCGACAAGTCGTCTTGGTCCCTGCTGGTATTTATGGCTTGGACAGAGCGTCAGATATGGCTGCTCGTATTGTCTTTGCTATCCACACATTGGTCCTTGTTGTACTATCCGTTGCTGAACTTCTCTCTATTTCTTGTCAGCCCTATCTTGATTCTAGAACATTGGCATAAGAATGACATACGCGATATGAGCGACAGTTGAGAACCCATTGAAGGAGGAGCTGAGCTTGGCGCCAATACTTCACGCTCTGGCAAAGCTGTAATCTCTTGAAACAGAAGATCAAAACAGTCTTTCTCTGAGTTTACGTTGAGATTCCGCGATATGTTGGCCGCACTCAGCTTCCCTATACCGTGTTAGTGAGACACTTGTCATTATTGATGCGTATGCAGTTCGGTGGGCAGATTTACCAGAATTTATCAACGAAGACCCCAAAGGGTCGGTATTCGACATATCTCTCTATATCTTCTTCTTGTCTCGTGCCCAGTGGCTATGAAGAAGTCAAAGTTTTGGGTGATGCATTTGCCTAGGCCTGGCCGGGACATGCAGATGCTCCGATGTCCGATATGCTGACAGGACTAGACTTCAGACGGTTGAAGGGATACTCATCAAACAATCCCCAGAGTTGGATTTGGAGCAGAGTCAAAGATGCAGAACTATATGCTTTATAAGTTAAATACTTGAGACCCGGGCTTTGAACCGTTAACTTATACCGGCAAACGGGAGGCACAGCGGCCGGCGGTGGGGCCTCCGGCGCATCTCGTATTTCGTACCGGCGACCATAGATCCACTATAAGAAACCGACCTATCGTATGCTGCATTGTTCAATGGCAGCTTGGCCTCGCGGTATCATACCAGATTCGGAGGCTATTTAGTTTGAGCTGCCGATAAGGATGTGCGCGGTGCGGCCAGATCTTCCGGTATCAGTGAACCAACAAGCTGAGGACGAGGCTTGCCCGAAGGGAAACTGATCGACGAGAGTTCTTGTTCGTTGGTGTTTACAGCATTGCCTGGGTCCACAGGAGAAGATGAGTTCAATGGAGAGTCGAGTATTCTCATGAGTCTATGCAACTTGTTGGGTTGGATATAAGCCGCCACCTAAGCTTTTCTTATTCCTTCTCTACTAACTCAAAATCTCTAGACAATCAAGGAGACCTTGGGCTGAGTCCTCAGGCATTCTCTCATGACACCAGCTGAAACTCATGTCACGGGTTGAAGCCTCGGAATGCGCGTCCTCGTGGCCCAGGCAGCGGACCCGCTGATGTGCGCTATCGACTGGTCGTGACCCCTTGCGGGGAGACATCCAACGCTTCCTATTTGCTGATACGCTTCTATGCCAACGGCATCAACCAATCACGGCACTCGAAGCCTTGTTGTCCCTCAGGGTCCTCTCCAACGTCATTCTCCCGGGCGCCGACCTTATCATGCCTCGTCCATTCGAGCCGAACTCGGCCGCCTTCTTTCTTCTTCATCCATCAAAACAAGACGGTTTCACCCTCTTGTATAACCACTACCAGTCTCTGTCTTGTCGCATAACGCCACCATGATTCTCAGGAGTAAAACACTCGCCGCCGGCTCAGCGCTGGTCGCTGTAGCTTGTGCGTCGCAACCTGGAGCTATCGAGCCTATCCCTGGTCCCATGAGAGCCCTTACTTGGGGTCAGCTCAACTTTATCCATACAACTGATACTCACGGCTGGATTGGCGGTCATTTTCAGGAGTATGTCTTGCCTGGTCACTCTGATGAATTACAACTAACATAACAGGCCCCAATACTCCGCCGACTGGGGAGATTACATCTCCTTCACTAAACATATGCGCAAGCAGGCCGATGAGCAAGGAAGCGACCTCCTAGTCATCGACACCGGCGATCGCATCGAAGGCAATGGTCTCTACGATGCATCATCCCCCAAGGGCCTTTTCCAGTACGACATCTACGCCGAAGCTGACGTCGACATCCTCTGCACCGGCAACCACGAACTTTACAAGGCCTATTCGGCTGATAAGGAGCACAACACCACTGTTCCAAACTACAAGGGCAAATATCTTGCTTCCAACCTAGACTATATTGACTTCAAGACTGGCGATCGTGTTCCCCAAGCTCAGCGCTACAAGAAGTTCAAGACAAAGAACCAGGGTCTCGAAATTGTAGCTTTTGGCTTCCTTTTCGACTTTACAGGAAATGC